TTCAGGAAGTAAGGGTGTGGAGGACTACAGCCAGAACTCCCTGCCTAGGGGCAAGAGTTCAGGGGCCACAGAATTTAATCACATGTATATTTTCCAAGAAGCAACTTGAGTGTGTGTGAGTGATTAGAAGTGTAGGGGCCTGTTTTGGTCTTTGCTGTCTGTACTAGCCCAGGGTATTTTTTCACATAGAGTGAAAATCTTAATCATATCCTATTCTTACTCAAAATCTTCCCATGGTTTCTAACTGCAATTAAAAAACCAAAACACTGATCCTGAATAGGTCTTGCCTACCTGCCAGCCGTGAGACTGTACCAGCCACAAGGACACCCCCGGGTCTAACAGTCCAAGGACACATGCCAGCATTGCTCCTGCTGCCTGGGACACTCCTCTCCTCAGGTTCCCACAGGCCCCGCAGCACATGTGGGGATGTGTGGGTACCCTTGTAGGGCTGTCCCCATTATTGGCAGTACTGTCAGCATTTACCTACAACGCAATGACAGTCCCATCCAACAAGCAATTCCCTCTTCTAGAATGCCAACCTGGCTGTGGATGGGAGACACAGCCAGGTCATTAGGGTGTCTGATACCATGTCTTCAGAGTGATTCTGGACCATCCCACCAAGGCACTTGTCACAAGCTGAAGTCACTCATCTGTCTCTGATGGGTCTTCTAGGACTGACCTCAGGGACTACTTATAAGGCCTCCATAAAGTGGGCCACGGAACAGAACAACCTGAGCAAGTGAGTGTCCCTCCTGAGGTTACGTGAACACTTCAAAATGGACAATTCCAAAAAGGAGATAAGCATACAAATGGAGTATAGGTAGATATTTGGTAATAACAGCTTTATATTGATTCTTTTTCTTCTGAAGAAAAATTGGACATTTGGAATCTCAAAGTGAAGTTTAGACAGAACCCAGATTCACTGGGCTGCCAATGAATATGGGTTCTGTGCCTTTTACAAAAAGATAGTCTCCCTCGATCAGCAACTTGAATATCCCCAGATGGAAAAGGCTAAGCGAGTGTGTGCTGAGCCAGAGCCCCTCACCTGCTTCTTCAGCTCAACTACTTTTTCCTGTAGAAGCATTTCCACATTCTTCAAAATCATCTCCACCTCTTCTACCCGCTCTTCTGTGGCTTTAAGCTGTTTTTCACGTTCTTCCTGCCACAGAAACCAATACTTTACATAAGAATCACAAGGCTTATTTTAAAGGGAAATTAGTTAGAATGTAGAAACCTGGAGTAGCTGGAGGTCACCTTTCATCTCCAAATAGTTATATTCTGTTTTCTCAGAAGCCACAGCGCTCTTGTTTCTTTTTGTAGCTCACAGAAAACTGGCAGACTCCTTCATTCTAGGAACCTAAATGACTCCAAGGTGAGTATCCCCAAGCATTATGGAGTACTTCTAAAGGATTTCTGTTAAATGTCTTGGTTTTGTTGAAAATTTACCATGGCTTAACTGGATCTCTCAAGTTCAAAACTTTTTGCATAATGCCAGTGGGTTAATCTTCATTAGAATGTATGCTGATACATCTCAAATTTTATCCACCCTCCGGGTCTGGCTCCAATTTCTTCCTCTTGAAAGCACTCTACCCCATTTCCTCATGAACTATGCAGCAGATTTCAGGAGCGATTTGTCTCAACCTTTTACATTAAACACTGACATGCCACAGACTACTCAAGCACTTTAAAAGTGCTAGCTTACTGAACCCTCACAATAACATTTTCTTTTGCGGTAGGAACCCCCATATCTGCATTTTATAGATGAGGAAGCTGAAGCGCAGAGGTAAAGTAACCAGCTGGGAGGTAACGGGACCAGGATCCCAATCTGTGTCTATTCTCAGCCACTGTATCCTGCTGCACAGACGGTGGCCTTCTTTTTCTAGATCTCTGAACCTCTAGCCCAGTGCCTGACACACTACAGCCCCTGTTGTCTTCCCGACCTGGTGGTCCACTTCCCTCCCTCCCCTCCCTTTGTTTCTTGCTGTCCTAATGCTGAGACTTCACGTTGGTTCTATGGATGATCAGCACACTCACTGCAGTCTAATTCTTTTGAAACTATAATCTGTGTGGGCTGTGCGAGTTGTAATTTTCTCTTGTAAGTGGGAAGTTTATATTCAGGAGGCCCAGTCTCCCTGGGCCACACACACAGTGAATGTGAGGTGGTGAGGAATGAGCCGTTTCCAATCACAGAGGATGGCAGAGAGCTCCGTGGAGTTATGCTGCACAACCATTCCAGACATGACTTGGGCAATTCTTTATTTGGCAATTGGGAAGTAAGGTCAGAGCGTGATTTAAATTACACTGACTTTGGAGGCTTCATCAAAAATACACAAAATCTCCTTGGAACCGCATCTGCCCTTGAAGACCCCACAGGTGTGGAAGGAAGTGGTTTCATCAGAGTGACAGGGAAGGTTGAAGGTAGGGTGCCATCAAAGAGAAAGGCTGGGTGAAAGGTTGTGAGTCCTCATCTTAGGTTCCTTCAACAGTCAACATCTCTGGGGGCTGTTCAGGAGGCCACATCACCACTATAATGATGACTGTTCTCTAGGCTAGGTGCCACCCTGGGCAAGAAAGAGCTAGAAGAACAACAAGTAAACCATCTCCCCAAATGTGGCCTCTTCCAAGCTGTCATGCTTCAGAGGTCACACAGTCAACCCATCTGGGGCTAAGCCTGTCCCAAGTGCTCACCCAGTGAGCAGAGTGCCTGCCCATCCCAGGAGGCACTCTGCTCCAACTTGGCTCTCTGCCATACTCCTGCTGTCACCTTCTGTGGCCACCCCTGTACTTTGACCCCGCTGTTGGACCCCTGTCTGCACAGGGCAGGGCCCTGCACAATGGGCCTGGATTCCTCCTGGGTGCTGTCTCTCTCTTAGTGAAAGTAAGCTGAGCTAGAGGTTGACCAAGTCCCAAAACCCATGCTTTAATGTCACCAAGGGAGAAACTATCTCCCAGAAGGGTGCTGAGTCACCCACAGCCAGGAAATGAGGGGCTTTGTGTTCCAGGCACTGGGGCACTGCTAGCAGCTTCTCAGAGGCAGCCATCAGCTCCTCCTGCCAACTAAGCAGCTTTATTATTTGCTCTTCGCTCCTCCCACCCCACCTCCCACCAAAAGCCATGACCTTGCCCCCTCTCCCCTTCAAATCCAGACTGGATGACAGAATGAGGTGACAAACTTCCAGGCACAGTCCTGAGAAGCTGGTAGTCTGCTCCTCCTGGGGCCCTTGCTGTAACCCCAGGAAAGCTCCATGTACTGAGGCAGCTTTGGGTATGACAGTCCTGTTCACATGTCAGCCTGCAAGTGAGCCCTCAGAGAGGTCCCTGCCCCCAAATCCTGTCTTCAGGTGGCTCCAGCCCCAACTGCTTTGACACCAAGTAAAAAGGGCCATGCAGTCAACAGATCGTGAAAGACAATGCCAAAGTGTGCTCTAATCTTGGAGTTATGTGCTACATTGTCATAAAGACTCATGCAGGGGTTCCCCAAAGGCCTGTGACTCAAAGCTGTGCCAGCCCACACTCTACCTTCTGAGCTTCTGTGAAGTCTGAGAGGGACTTACCAGGGCCCCACCTGGGATGCTCCCTGCTTATACTACCTGTTCCTGTTCGACCTGCTCAGCTGTCACGTTCTGGGCATTCCTTGGAGCCAAACAGGGATGTGCTTACCACAGCAGCAACTTCCTTCCCACACAAGCCACCCTTGCAGACGCTCAGAGCTTCCTATTCACCCTTGAACTTCTATATTTCCTTACACAAACGGTCACTGGTGTGGTTTTGGGGGTCCTCCTGTAAAACACAGCCCAGCAGGACTGCCTGTGTATGTCTCTTCTGCCTGGGCCACAACTGGGTGCTGGGCCTGGTTCCTGTAGCTCCTGTGCTTGTTCTGACAGATCAGCTGCATCTGACCCCTCGGTCCCAAAGGTTCAAATGACATCTGGGAAGATGCTTGCTTGCAGGCGAAGGCTGCAAAACCACAGGAAACTCGGATAGTACAGCAGAAGGCCCTATGTCCAGTACACAGGCTGACTGGGCGTCTAGAAAGTGACGCCCAGGATGACCAGGGCTAAGTCCAGCTGTGGGGCCAGCAGTTGGTCAGGAAGAAGGTACACAGAGGTTCAACAGTGGGAGATATGTAGGTTACAGACCCCTTCGCCACAACACTGAGGCCACCACACCCATCACACCTCTTTCCTCCATGGAGCCCAGTGATCTTTTGAGTGCTGTGTCTGAGTTCACCTGGGTACTCAGCCCTGAAGGCCCCTCCAGGTCACATACATGTCACACACAGTCTCAACCATTGCCCCTCCAGCACCAGGGCACCCAACGTCTCTGCTCAGCCTGCCCTGCTCACATTGGTTTGCCCCTTACTATGAGCTCCCTACCGCCCTGTCTGTGAACCTCTCAAGCCTGAAATGGAGACTGGGTAAAAGCAGGAACAGGAAGCGTGGGAGATTACAGGGTTTCACTGTGTACATATAAATAGGTATCGGAAGGAACAAAGAGCTTGTCATCCATACGTGGCCTTGGATCTGACATCTCTTCCCCTCCTCAGAAGTCACTCAAGGCTCTCCCTAGGCACAGTTCCATAGAGGGCACACCCCAAACAACTGGGCACTACTGACATTGCCTCCTGAGTAAACAAAGGGATGCCTCTGCACATGGTTTGCTTAAGATTAACCCAATTCCTGACTAGGTGTGACCGGTGCCAGCTGTTACATACCTGACTGTGTACCTCAGTTCAGCCTGTTAAGCTCTCTGGGCTGGTCTAGTCCCGGGGAGGCTCAGCTTTAAATTGCACAACTTTCCTGACTTTCGTCCCAGGCCAGGACCCAGCCTCTTGCCATCACGCACACCCACCTGGTCTCGGCTTTCCTCAAGTGTCTTTCTCAGCTGTGACTGTGACCACTTAAGACTCTGACGCTCCTGATTCACCTGTTCAAGCTCAAGTTCGAGTTTTTGGATTTGGTCACCCTGTTTTTAAAAAAAAAAAAATAGTTTCACAAGTATAAAAATACCTCAGTAGCCTGATAAATGTGTAATGCAGAAACTTCAGAAATTACAGGAAAACACAATTATAAAACTGAAATTATCCAGTTTGAGGCTCATTCCTGACACCATGGGATAATTTCATCTGTTCCCCAACATGAGTGTTACTCTTGGCAGGACTCACCCACTTTGGGTGCTCAGCTCTGCTCATGTCACGGCGTGAGCATTTCCCCATGACATTAAGTATTATTTAAAAACATGGTCTTTTAATAGTGACATAATTTACTGACTTATTAGTAAATAATTATTAGTTGTTAATTCATTAGTTGATAATTCATGATGATTTGAATGGTTTTCCTATTATAGATATCATAGCAATGAAAATACTTAAAGCTAAGCCCTTCCACAGTGCTCTGATAAAATTCCCATAAGTACGAAGCCAGAGCACACAGACATTCTTAAGACTCTCGATATATATTTTGCCAATCTGTTACTCTGCCAATTATTCTACCATCACTAAGATTTTATTCCTTTCTGCCACTTCCCAGATATCAGGGATTTGCAAAGGCTGCTTAAATTCATTTGTTTCCAGGGTTTCTTGTGACGTTCCTCACTTTACCTGCAGCTGGTGTCTTGACCTGCTTTTGGTTCCTTGATACCCTCCCCCACACCTCCCATGCCCCAGCCCCCACCCTTAGGAGGCCTAGAACTTGTTGGGCCACCACCTGCAGCTGCTCCTGGTGCCCTTTCTCTTCCAGTCTCTGTGTCAGCAGCTGAATGGTGACTTGATTCTGCTCGTTTTGAGTCTGGTGTGTAGAGGCCTCCTCTCCCAACTGAAGGACCCTGTGGCTGAGCTGGAACAATTCATCCTTGCATTTCTGACTCTACAGCAAAAAAGGTAAAAAAAAGACAAAAACGTTATGTTTTTGAACATGCACTGGTCATGCATACTCAGCCCTCTTTTCCAAGTGGGTGATAACAATGATTTTGTGTTTCTGCAAGTTAAGAACAAAAAGGCATCCTGAAGTAGTCAAGCTTAACAAGTCCATAAAGTTTCCTTATCATGATTTCTCATTTCCTTCTCTGTAAATTGCCACATAAGTGAGGGTGTTTTCCACCACAGCAAAAGTTGGTATAGAGCTCTCATTTATTACATTTATTATAAAAATTAAAATTGCTTTTTGATATCAACACACATTTAGTTTGTCCTGTGAGGAGAGTCTTAATTCCATTAACTGTCAGAAACAAAATCTTCCTTCAACCACTGGGATGAACAAAATAGCTGATACCCTTGTGTTCCTCTTTACTATTAAGAGGCTTTGTTTGGAAGTAATCACTGACTTAACAGAGCAGTTGGGAGACTGTTACAAGGAACCTTCACCCAGGGACTTGCCAACAGCATCTCCCCTTGGGCTGCTTGCTGAGTCCCAGACCGCCGTAGATGGTTCCTCAAGATGGCTGCCAGAGTTTTTGGCATCAGGACGTGACCCCTGACGGACCATACACACGTTCTGTACCACTTTGGAGCACACGTGCCATCCAGGGTCAGGTGGTACTCTGACTTGTCACATTGCTCTGGCCTTCTCAGGTCTGGGAGGCTTCCCCAGCTATTCTCTTTTAGGATACTAACCTTTTTTTATATATGAGTTTATTTTTACATCACTTTGTGCCTTTTTCCATCTCAGCTGCTGTCCCCATAGATTTCCCATCATCAGTTTACCGATGTGCCATCACCATAGTCCCATGCACATCCTCCCCCCCCCATTTTTATCCCATTCTCCATCCCACCCCCATAAAATGTCTCTGGTATATAGATGTTCATTTTTTTTTTTTTCTCCTGGTCCTTTATGCCCCTGTTATGAGTGAAACCATCCGGTATTTTTCTTTCTATTTCTGGCTTATTTCACTAAGCATGATAAGCATGATCCCTTCCAGCTCCATTCATGTTGCTACAAAAGGCATAAGTTTACCTTTTTTGATTGCTGAGCAATATTCCATTGTGTGTATGTAACACATTTTTTTAATCCAGTCATCTACTTTTAGGCTTTTGTGTTGATTCTATGTCTTTCCTACTGTAAATAAAGCAGCAATATACATGGGGGTGCAGGTGTCTTTTTGAATCAGTGTTTTTTTTGTCTTTTGGGTAGATACCTAGGAGTGGGATTGCTGGGTCATAGGGAAGCTCCATGTTTAGCAGTTTGAGGAACCTCCAAACAGTTTTCCATAGTGGGTGTACTAGTTTGCATTCCAGCAGTAGGCAGTGCCCTTTTTGACAAATATAGCCTGTCACTTTCGGTCCCCTTTAACAGTGTTCACTAGGGGTTTGTCAGCTGCTTCCTGGGTTTAGAGTGAGGTGATGAGCACCAGCAGAACATGCCCCAGGGGCTGCTGTGCCCACTCAGCATGCTAGGAGGTGCCACCACTGCTGTAATTTCTAACTTGCAACTAGCTGGGTTTTATTCCAGAAGTTAATGTGAGATGTTAACGGTCGTCTCCTGGACATGTTTGAAAACAAATGGGTATTTGTGTTTATTTTGAATCTGATCAAGCCTTTTGGCCTAATTTCCAGTTTACAAGAAAAACAGCACAGAGGACCAGGCTGAATACCACTGTCAGGAAACATCTGGATAGATCCAGAAGGTGGGGTGGCCTAGGAGACCATCACCAGGTCTCTTTTAAAAGCCAGTTATGGGGGGAAACCTGAGTTCTAGATGAAAAGGACATTTTGCAGCAGACCCTACATTCTTAAGGTGTCCTCAAAAGTATCTCCCATCTCACGTTAACTTTGTGCAGTGAGATCTGGACACTCGCCCACCAAGAGGAGCCTGTGTCCCCCTCTTGTGGCTCAGCAGAGACTCAGTGGGGGTGGGGAGGCTGGTGGTGAAAGAGATTTCCTAGGTGAGGTCAGAGGCTGGCACCTTCCAGAGGGTCCTTCTGAAGCACACACTGATGCCTACTTTGAGGACACTCTGGGAGACCAGCTCTAGGGAGAGGAGCATGTTTAAGGACCACCTAGGTGGCCCTGCTGTGCAACCTTCCCAGTCGAAGTCCCTGACCCCAAGAGCAGAGATGATGTGCCCTGCTATCCTGTCTGATTCCTAACCCACAGCCTCCGAGCACAGAAAAGTAACTGTTTTTTGCCAGTAAATTTGAAACTACATCAATAATTCAATATAATGCACCAATCTTAGTTGGAATATAGGTCCAACAACTGATCACGTAAGACATTTTTGAATAATTAGAGAAACGTAAATATGTTCTGAGTAGTGGATGATATTAGGTAGTTAAAATTCCATTTCTTGACCCTCCCTGGTGGCACAGTGAGTTAAAGCACAGCACTAAGAATCAAAAGCCACTTCTGCATGAGTTCGATCCCCGCCTGCCCTAAGGTGACCACAAGGTGTGGCAGACCTCTCCTGACCCGCCCACTGCTCCCCTCAGCAGTGTACTTCAGTGATCTGCCTGTTCTGCTCCCCACTCTGTCTCTGGTGAATCCTTTCACCGTCCCTTTGCCTCTGTCCTGTACCCCAGTTCTGAATGCAGAAATAAATAAATCTTAAAAAAAAATTCCATTTCTTAGGTGTAAGCAGTACTGTGGTTTGAGGATGCAATATTTTTAGGCGATGCCTGCTTACGTATTTTAGGAGTCTCCTACCTGTAATGTATCTTCAAACTTATCAGAATATACACACCCACCACGCACACAAATATTGACAGATATAAACAAATAACTAAGTACAGATGGCGATGTTAATAACAAAGCAAATCGGGTTGTGGTATGTTGGTGATCAGTGTACTTTCCCTGTATTTAAAGTATTCCATGATAAAGACCTGGGGTGGGGGGAGAGGGAAATGGCTACTATAATCCATTACAAGTATGTCCCAGAGAGAAGCTGGCAAGAGCAGCAGTAGAGCCGATTCTGGGCCCAGAAAGTGCCAGATGGCTCATTTACATAAAAAGCTGGTCCTCCGACAAATGGAGCCTGAACTTTTCCTCTCCATGGAAATGCACACCCAGGACTGGAAGCCAAGACAAGCCAGCAACCTCCAGCAGTCCTGGGAGGAAAAAGAGAGCATTGCCTCAGGACTTAGGAACTGAGCAGAGGCTTGAGGGGCATAAACACTCCTCCAGAGAGTTCAGCAGGGTGGCAGGACGCTGTGCCCACGCGCAGAAACCTCTGTAGTTCTATGCACTATCCGTGAACATACGGAAACTGTAACATGGTGGTCCCTAGGAAAAGGGGAAGTTTCAAGTTCCCTGCCCCACCCAGGAGGAGGGTGGAGCAGAGCAAAGAAGAGAAGAGAAGGAATCAGGGGAGAAGAAGAGAAGGAAGCTGGTTGGAGAACAACGAGACTTGAGGAAGCCACATGGAGCATCAAGCATGTGAGGAAGAAACCGGGTTGTTTCCTGACCCTGGACTGGTTAAGGCAGATGTGGGTGAGATACCTGTAGGGAGGTGACTATGGCAGTGTTTATATTGATTTTGATTTTGCTCTTTTCCTCCCAGATTTGTCTGGCCATTTCTGACCCTTTTCCATGGGTCCCGGCCAGAAGGTGCTTTAGTCTTGTGGTGGGCTTTCAGGTCTTGCTTTGAACCAACCTCTTTTGGGTTGACTTATGCCCACGAGGGGATGGGTAGCTTCAGGTCTTTGACTTAGAAGTTATATTCTTTGTGTTCCGTATTGTATGTTTATTGTATTAAAGTCCCTTTTCATTAAAGTTTTATGTTTTGTCTTGTTGTGGTGGATGGCAGAACCCACTTAGAGCAGGCAGGATTTGGGGGCTTCAGGGGTGTCCCTCTCTCCCTGTCCTGTAACAAAACCTCACGCAGAGACATAATATTCTTTCTGGTTCCTGGTCTGGCTTACAAAGTGCTTGAAAGTCATCACTCCCATTCTGCCAACAAGAAAAAAGTCATCACTCCCATTTTGCCAACAAGAAAAAAAGCTGAGTCACCTGAAAGTCAACTGAGAACTGAGGTCAGAGGGCAAATCAAGGCTCTGCAAACTGGAGAGCATGCCCAAGGGAATCCCTGCTGGCCAAGAGCTTAGAGCTGGTGCCTGGCAGGAGCTGAACTGGACACCATAGGGGCCAGTCTCAGGGTAGCCCCAACCTTTCTGACTTCTATCAAATTGCCCTACTGTCTCTGTTAAGGTCCAAAATCACCCAGTTGCCTCCCGCGACAAAGGACAGGACCAGTGATGCACAAGCAAGCGGAGTTTATTGATCCAGTTAGCTGGGGTCAAGCTTTCTTGCAGGCTGGCAGGCCACACAGGGGGAGCAAGACCCAGACCTGAGGGATGTCAGGGAATATATAGGCCCCATTGACTGTTACATGGGTCATAGCCCGCGTCACAGTTCAACCACACAAGGGAGTGTTTATCATAATCCAATTTCGACCTGTCTCAGGTATTAACACTAGGGTGTGGTATCTGCCTGCATATCTGTTTGGGCTTAGGGAGGGGTCACACAGACTCAAAGGAAGGCGGAGGGGCGGAATTACTGGTTGGGCCCAACATCTCAACGTCCTTGTAGTGTAAATCAGAGAAGAATCCCTGACACAAGCTATGCAACTTCTATTGACTGACAAATTCTGGATAGAAAAGGAAAAACTCTGAAAAATCAGAATTTCCATGCTAGCTTATGTTATGACCCCCTTTTTTTTGTAATATCAAAATATTCTGAGCAACCATCAGCTTGCTGGATTACCTTAGCCTCATAAGGCGCTACCTGGCCCAGGCAAGCAAGCATTGCCCCAGGGGGGGAAATTATCCTTAAAGTAAAAAATATTACAATGGGCTGATTAATAAAAGCAATTGGCTGTTATAGCAAAATCAATACTGTAAAATAAGACAGTACTAGAACATGTTAAAAATTACTGTGCTTTTTTACTGCCCGGACCAGAATCCTAATCTTATCTGTCTAGTTTACTTAAGCTTTCTATTGCTTAGTCTTTAATTGAGGAATCTTAGTGATTTATCTACCAGAAAACTTCTCCACCCTAATCCTCGACTTTACCCTCTTTAACAACTTCACCTTGGCCCGTGACCTCACTTTATCCCCTTTCACATCTCCAACCCAGCCTCCACCCTAGCCCTCGACTTTACCTTCTAAGATGTCTCAATGAGAATGAAGATCATTAAGTAGCATTTAAAGTTTAAAGGGACTTTATTTTAGCCAATCATCACTGTGATAAATATAATAATGATAGCCTTAAATTTTATGAATTTATGTACCTATCTTAATTTTAATAGATTGATTTTAAGAATAATAAATGTTATATCTTAGCTGAAGGTCAATATGACCCCAAACTTCTCAGAAAAAAAGATGATTGTGATCTCAGCCCAATTCATATGCTAATGTTATCTCACTGCTTGTTTGAAATGTATAAAATAAACTTTTGCTGACAGCAGAACAGTAAGACTTGCACTTAACTGATTCCCCTGTCTTCCTTGTGCCCTCACCCCTTTCTCCCCCACTTTTAGGAATCTCCACTCGCCGAAGCCACTCCCACCTTAAGACCCTGCATTTTCTGCCCCCCAACAACCCGTGATTGAGGTCAGTCCCCAACAAATCCCCTTGTACTTCCTGGTAGAAGGTGGAAAAATGACTGCTATGGGCTGAATTGTGCCCAAGATGAAGACCTCCCCTCACGTGACCACATCTGGAGAAGGGGTTTTTAGCAGACAATTCCAGCTAAACAGGCAACAAAAGTGGAGTGCTGATCTGATAGGTGGCTTTATAAGAAGAAAATGAAGAGCAACATTTTGGTTCTGTTCTGTTTCCCACTCTCACCACCCTGCACCTCTAGCCTGTACCCCAGTTCTGTATGCATAAATAAATGTCTAAAAAGAGAAGAGGGAGGGTGAAAGTAACTTTACTGTGAGAAAACCACCTAACCAAGAAATCAGCTTACAAGTAATGGTGCAAATCATCGAAGCCCCAGGCAGGATGAAATGAGACCACAGTATCACTTCTTGAATATTCCTGCCAAACACACATCATCTAAATCTAACAAGGGAACATCACACTAACCAAATTAACATACTTCCCACAAAATAATCACTTGTGATCTTCAAAAGTGCCTCAGTCCTAGACATCAAGAACAGACTGATTGAAGGAGACTATATGCCATGATTCTGGTACTGAATGTGATAATGCTCTGATTTTGGGGTGGGAAGGCAGGAGGGGTTGATAAGTCAGCAACTCACTCTCATATCTCAGAAAAAAAATTTGTCCTTTCTTTTAGTAAATCTGAAATTATTTCAAAATAGTGAGAAAAGATCAGGTGTTGATACTTGACCTGTTTCTTGAGTTCTTCCACTACAGAGCAGGCCTTCTCCTTGTCTCTCTTTAAAACGTCCATTTCTAGCCTGTTGAAGAAGCAAAATGAACAGTATCATTTTAACCCAGCAGTCTGTCTTTTCCCAGTCACAGGCAATCACAACAGCAGTATTTTGGGCCCGATCCACACAGACTTGTGCCTGTTCCTGGCAGCCTACAGTCACTCTGTCAAGTTCCTCACCACGGCATCACTGCCTCTGCTGACCACTATAGTCCTAATCCCTTCCTGCTCTGTGGAACCAGAGGACACCCTCTCTGTGACATTCTTCAATTGCACACATTAATATTTCAGCAAAAAGTGCAACTATTCACACCCAACAGTAAAGACCAAAATGGCCCCATATCCATTGAGATCTATTGTCAAAGAGGTCCTGGCAACTAATGCAGGGGAAAAGCGACTTCCAGAGGGAGACATTTTTAGACTTCATTGTTCCTGTAATGTAACAGCAACCATTTCTTAGCGGCCTACTCTAGATCCCATATTTTAATCATTACGGCAATTCTATCAAATCAGTACCATAGTCTCAGAATTTTACAGCTGAGCTCATCTGGAACTTTGTTTGGAGGGGCGGGGAGAAGGGAGGCCACAGCAGTGAAAACAAAAATATGTGTATGCCTCCACCCTCTCCCATCACACACCTCCTATTCCCAGCACACTTGGTCTCTCCTGCCACGGTGCTTACTCATCCCTGCTCCTCTCCCTCTGGGTCTCATGGACATGCATATACATGTAGGTAGACCCCTGGTTCCCTCCACTTCAGTGCTCAGGCTTCCACCCCTCTTCCTAACCCGTCTTTTATCCACTCCCTCCACCACTGACATCAACAGAACAGTAGTGAAACTTGGAGAAAAGCATAGCAGAAACTGTCACTAGAACATAAGCTGATTTCACTTGCTAAGGTCTTAGAAGTACCTTTTAATCCAGAAAAAGGACTTGCTGCATCCCCCACCCCAAATATAGCATGGACGATTTCTGCAAGGGTGAGAAGTTCTTGTATATGGACCTCAGAGACCAGTGATCTGTGCTGGAGTGGTCATGCAGTGCTGGCTGTGTCACAGTTTGCAAACACTCTCTCAACACCGAGGCCAAGAGCCGGGAATGCATATAGCTGCCACATCTGCGCCTTCATGCATGCTAGTCAAGAAGAGTCAGAGGTCAGCACGGCTCTCCCACTGAGGGACTTCTAGAATGCAGGGCTAATGTGTGAACACTCCCCATTTCTTAAAGCAATACTTTCTATGCTTATTTTACTAAGAGCAAAGTGTGTTGCAGACCTTGTCTGGGTGGCACCACTGAGTACAGGCCTCACCTCTGTATGCTATTCGTCCTTTCTGCAGCTTCAAGGTCTTGCTGAATCTTCCCCAGCTCATTTTTCAACAGTGTGTTTTCTTCAGAAAGTCTCTCCAACTCTATTCTGCATGAGAAATTGATAAAGAAGTGTGGGAAATTAGGCGCAGCAGGCTAGAGCACAGCACTGAGAGGCTAAAGCCACTTCCACATGAGTTCGATTCCCGCCTGCCCCGGAGGTGAACACATGGTGCGGCAGACCTCTTCTGGCCCGCCCGCTGCTCCCCTCAGCAGTGCACTTTGTTGATCCGCCTATTTTGCTCCCCACTCTGTCTCTGGTGAAGCCTCTCGCTGCCCCTGAGCCTCTGGCCTATACCCCAGTTCTGTATGCATAAATAAATAAATCTTTAAAAAAAAAAGTGTGGGAAATTAGGAGCTATCAGCCACATGCAGTCCATGGGTATCTGGAGCTGGAAGTCAAAGTAATACTGTGTCTTTCCCTCTTCTCTAGATGATGGTACAGGGCAGAGAACACAAAGCTTTCTTAACTTCTAAAAGAGTCACACTGGCAACATATATCTGAGGAGGTGTGAACTTATTCCCCTAAATCACATGCCGTGCTGTAAATCAATATTACTTCAATTTATTTATTTATTTTGCATAGAAGATACTGGGGTGTAGGCCAGAGGTCCAGGGGGTGAGAGTATTCACCAGAGTAGGGAGCAGAACAAGCAGATCAACTGAAATACACCACTGAGGGAGTAGTAGGTGAGACAGGAGGGGTCTGTTGCACCAAGTAGGCTAGCTCCCTCACTGGGGCTCGAACTCATGACACAGTGGCTAGTGATAGATTGATAGCACTGAGATATAACTCCTGCACTACCAGGGAGGCCATTGTTACCTGAATTAAAAAAAAAACAAAAACACATTTTCCAAGTGGAAATCAACAAGTTTCATCAAAAATTTGGATGAAAATGGCTTAAATGTTAGTTTAACATTCAGACAAATGAGTTTCTGGCAAAATGGCACTAAATCACCCATATTTTAGTGATTTGGACAATCAGTTTAAATATATATAATTTTTTGACAGAGTTCCCACATGCCGTATCTAGCACAGAGTTGTATATTTTATTGTTAACTCTTATCCATTTTCATCTAGTACATCTTTTTTCCTTGTAAAACATAAGCTATACTTTATATTCTAATTTCAAGCATGCTTCTTAAATGTTGTTCTAAGTGAGTTTAAATATAATCATTTTGTATAATAAATAAAATGGTCACACCTCACTAATGTATTCAGCAACTGGTTTTGTTCACTTTCTGTGGACACACAGGTGTGTTCTGTAGGTGTGTGTGCCTTTGGCTGACACCAATGCATGATACTGAGTTAGCTCTCTGTTTAACTGCAAGAACAAATTCACTCCCTATCAGAGATCCCCAGTAGAATTAAAGAAGGGCAAAATGCATAGACACATCTGCTCCACCATTCTACACTTCAAAGAGGAACTGAGGAAGACATCCACATCAGTTTATGAAGAACACTCATGTGAGGTAGATTCTCAATGGGAAAATGCAAGTACAGATAGTTACTAAACAAACCAAGTAGGCATGGAGTTGTTTATACTTCTGGCAGTCCCTACGGAGTCTCTGCTTAGGTACTACCATTAATGAGTGACAGATGAGTAATTTACCTATAAAGATCACCCACGAGGTAGCCAGCTCTGAATCCATAAGTTGTAATACACACTGGTCTGGTTGGCACTATTCTCCCCAGTAGGCCTCTATCTGGAGTCAGCTTCTGGTTTTGTTTATTTTTTTTTTTTCCAATCTAAAAACACTCAGAACCAGGCAGATAATCTCATTATGTTTTCTTTATATATTATGGTTATATCGGTAAAGTACCTGTTTTTTTTTTTTTTTTAGGTTTTTTTTTTTTGTGCATACAGAACTGGGGTATAGGCCAGAGACTCAGGGGTGGCGAAAGACTTCACCAGAGACAGAGTGGGGAGCAGAACAGGCAGATCGATGAAGTACACTGCTGAGGGGAGCAGCGGGCGGGTCAGGAGAGTTCTGCCACACCATGTGGTCACCTCCGGGGCAGGTGGGAATCGAACTCATGTGGAAGTGGTTTCAGCTACTTAGTGCAGTGCTTTAACCAGCTGCGCCATCAGGGAGGGCCAGTACCTGTTTTATAAGCATAAATATGACTTACTTTTCTTTCATAAGAAACTAAAGACAAATAAAAGTCACGGTAATTATAAAAGCAGTGAAAGGTTTCAAGCAGGAGAGTGAAATACATGATATCTGTGTTTGGAAACTCATTCTGGCTCCAGGATGGAAAGCAAATTGAGTGAAGGCAGGTGTGTGTGTATGTGTGTATCTGAACTGGAAGTTCAGATAATCAGAAGGTTGCTCTACCCCACCCTATCCCATAGTCACTGACAACTAACACCTTTTAAAGTTGATCATACTCACAGGAAGTAATGGAAATTTCCAAGGCCCCCAAATAAAAGAAAAACCTGAAAGCTGAAAACAAAGCTGGGAACATTAAGCAACACAAAGATAGGGTTACCCTGAGGCAATGCCTTTGACAGTGAGGAGAGACTGTACTGTGGACACCTGTATTACACCAGTACTCTACAGGTTAAAATGCTTCCAGATTAAACGCTTCTAATTCTCTACAAATGCATCACACATCCTTTCTGCAGAGAGCACGCTTTAATATGTTCCCAGAGATCAACATTACAAAAACATGAACTTACAAGATTACCAAAACATAAATGGAAAAAAGCTACTCATAATCAACAGAAGCAAAAAACAACAGAATTAAGATCCTACAGGAATCTTAATTATAATTACCAGACACAAACTTTAAATATTATGAAATGTTTACATAAATAAAAGATGTAAATTTTAAAATGAATCAGCAATAAATAATTATCAAAAATGATCAGACAGGACCAAAAGAATGTTTAGAAAAAAAGTAAAATGTCAGTGTCATAGTCATAGCAGATTAGACACAGCCAAAGAAAGAATCACTCATTCAGAAAACATAGATGTGAAAAGGGTCCATATAAAGTGACACAGAAAAGAAGATGGGATATCTGAAAAGGAAGCTGAGAAATGCAAGAAAAGTGAAAAGATCATTACTTCTAAATTGAGAGGATGGAGAAAGGAGAGGCAATGTTACAACAATAATGGTGAAGAGTTTTTCACGAGACACAAATGGACACATTTAAGGGACACAATTTTTCTAAATAGGATAAATGAAAACAAAACCACAACCCAATCATCTCATTCTTAGGTGCAGGAATGCTCTAAGAACTTTCTTAGAGCTGCTATTTATGATACCTAAAAAGCAGAAACTACTCAAATGTCAATCAACAATGACTAACTGAATGAACTGAATGAACATTACAGGGCAACAGTAATGTTGAGGATGAACTCTGACAATGAACAATATGGATGACTAACAAACAGGAATCAAGAAAGCCAGGCACAGTGTATACACTGCATAATTCTTTATATAAAGTAGAAAACCCCACAAAAAGTAACCTGTTTAGAAGTTCAGGATAGTGGTTCTCCCTGAGGGGCTTCAGGAGTGCTACTTCTTGCTCTGGGTGCTAGTAAAAGATGTGTTCTAATTGTTGAAAAATCATCATCTCATTGTGTGTGCATACATGCATGCGTCTTTTTCTAACATCTCAGTGAAAAGTTAAATTTACCTAAACAGACCAAGAAAACCCCACAAACGATAAAGGGATCATAAAAGCAGAGGACAATATTATCAGATACAGTAGACAGAACAATGCCTCTAAGCAATGTCCATGTCCTGTGAGTGTGACACTAATGCAAAGGAATAATAAGTACATGGAATGAAGGTCGCTTCTTGCTTTCCTCAGATAGGGAGGTTATCCTGGGTTATTCATTAGGATGACTGTAATGACAAAGGTCTTCATATGTGGAAGAAGGAGGTGAAAGAGTCAGTGTTAGAGTAAGGTGGTTGAGGAAAGTCACTGTGCCTTTAAGGTGAAAGAGGACCCTGACCCAATGAATGTGAGTATCCTACAGTAGCCGGAAAGTGAAGAGAAGACCTTCTTCTCTAGAGCCATCAAACAGGAATGTGATTCTTGCTAACTTCTTTATTTTATTTTAATAACATATCACTGACAACATCACAATTTCATCAAGTCATAGTCATTTATTTCAGTCTCTTGAATTCCAAAACTCCCAAGTGAAAAAACAAGTTTTCATTATGTGGTTAACTTGTTACAGCAGCTACAGGAAATGAATACACATAGAAAAGAACAAAAACTAGAGAGACTAGCACACTGAACCATTCCAAGGGCAGAGGGGCTGCCATCTGTTAATCTAGATTGATGTTCCTAGAATACTACCTTGCACAAATAGAAGAAACTTTGAGATTTGAGGCAATTTCAGTTAAACAAAAACTGAAAACAATTACTGCAAAGACAGTTTTACTAAAGAATTTCTAAAGTTTTCCTTTCAGATTCATGTTTTTGTGCCCTTTGTGTAGATTCCTACAAGTAGAATTGCTGGGTCATCTGGGAGATCCATTTTTAGTGTCTGAGGAACATTCATACAGCTCTCTATAGTGGCTGGACCAGTTTACATTCCATGAAGAAAAAATACATGAGTAAATAATAATAATAATAATAATTCTAAAGGATTTATATCAGAAAGATAGAAAATGTTCCTCTAAGGAAAAAAACTGCATACAAGGAAGAATAAGGAGCTACCTAAAGTGATAGGCTGGGGAGGAGTCAATATCACCAGATGTTATTACACCTAAACTGAGAACCATTTTGCAAAATATCTGATCAGTAGTCCTCAAAAATGCCAATGTTTGAATTCCTAGAAATAACACTATCAAAATCAACTCCAGAAGTAGAAAATCTGAATAGACCTGCAGATTGCCTTAGCAACTGAACACTTCACAACAAAGAAAAGCCCAGGAGCAAATGATTTCCCTGAGTTGATTATTTCTCTATCTTCCCTTAGCTTTTACCACACATGTACGTGGTTTGCATAGAATGGCATAAGTTTCCTCATCTATAAAATTTGATAGTCTATTTCCCTCTTGCATTGATGACAGGGACTGTGGAGGAGGCTTAGGGTACCACACCTCGCATAGGAATCTGTACATACACACCCAGCACAGACTGCACTGCACACCACATGACTAGTGACCTGTTTCCTTTAGAACTCTTGCGTTAAACTGACATTCCAGGGGAGGGAAATGCACTGGACTATGGTGATGGCACATGGGAGATTTGGTGATGGGAAACCCAAGGGGATTGCAACTGAGATGGGAAAATGCACAAAAATATGTAAAAATAAACTAATATAATAATAATAATAATAATAAATACTAGGAAACAAAAAACTGACATTCCTGTCCCAGTGATGCCTGTAGGGATGCTGGACATGGGAACCATCAGAAATGAAGCAGCATCAGCAGGCCAGGATGTAGCAGGGTCAAGATAATAGGGAAGTTGATATCAAGTTTTGGGGACTGGACATGACAAATAACAAAAAAAAATCAACTGTGATGGACTGTTTACTTGACTGCCTTTGCTTAACTCAATATAAAAAGCAGCTTGAGGACCCTCCCTGGTGGCGCAACAGGTTAAAGTGCAGTGCTAAGAAGCTGTCCGTGACTGCTTCAGCATCAGTTTGATCCCCGGCCAGGGAGGTGACCCACATGGCATAGCAGACCTCTCCTGATCTGCTCCTCTCAGCTGTGTACTTCGTCAATCTGCCTATTCTGTTCCCTACTCTGTGTCTGGTGAATCCTCTCACAGCTGCTATACCACTGGCCTTTACCCCAGTTCTGTATGTATAAATAAATAAATCTTTTTTTAAAAAAGCAGCTTGAGATGATGGGGCAGAATGGTTTCTTTAGGGTGTTGTGTGTGCTGTTCTTTCAGATTGCTGGCCAGTTGCAGCACCTGATCCCAGCAGATTCTGTTATCACTAGGACAAATGCAAAACCTCCCCCATGAGTTAAAAGCTCCTAACACCTGCTCTGCCCCCAGCTGCAACCCCCAGATCACCGCACACATGGATGGTGCCCAGTAAACTGTCAAATGAAGGAAGGCCCCTCTAACACTTGAGCTGAGACTTCAGTTGTGGGGCTTGCAGACCAGGAGAAGCATAAGACAAGGGAAGCCTTCCAGAATAGGGGTCAGTGAGAGGGAGGTCACTCTGGGTGAGAATTTGGATAGTGGAGGTCTGGATACATGTATTGTGTCCATGGAAAAGCAATCAAGAAGGACACACTTAAACACTTCACAACAAAGAAAAGCCAGGAACAAACGGTTTCTCAGAAGTCTACCAAACATTATGGAACAGACCCCCATGCTGGTTGTGGGGGGCTCACTATGGGACCGGATCATAACAACATATTGACATATTTACCTCTAGCTTACCACACCCCTTTTTGAGGTCTGGCACTATTTCTGCTTCATAGTTGAGGAATTTAGAAGTCAGGTCACCACAGACAGGTTCTCCATCACCCAGGGACACCCACATAAGAGGCAGGAGAATAAGGCAAAGTCTGGATAGTAAAAAACAGCGCCTTTAGAACAGTCATCTCTGGTAGGAGCGCTTACTGAAGGGTACCCAGGGGCTATCAGCTAGGTGAATATTTTCTTTTTTTCTTTTTGAGCAGTAAAACTAGGGTGTAGGCTGGAGGTTAAGGGGGTGAGAGGATTCACCAGAGACAGAGTGGGGACCCGAACAGGCAGATCTACTGGAATGCACTGCTGATGAGGGCAGCGGGTAAGAGAGGGGAGGTCTGCTGTGCCATGTGGGTCAGTTCCCTGGCCAGGGATGGAACTTAGGCCGTAGCAGTGACAGTGCTGACACTAAACTCCTAGGCCAGCAGGGAGGTCCTATTTTCTTTAACTTGGGTCATGCAGTGACATTTATTCTTTCTGCTTTATCATAAATTGCATGACTTTGTTTTCAAAGAAGCAACATGACCATAGCCACTGAAGGTGGAATGCAGGTCTGTGAACACCTGTGTCTGCCATGAGCCAGTATCCCCACATGGACAAGTGACATGATTCCACACAGAGATTCCCTGTCCACAGGAAGCTAATGGGTCAAGGGACAGCTGACACATGACATGCAAGGGGTCCCAACATCTTGCCTGAGGAGCTGGGAGAGGAGCAGCTGAGGCTAAGCTTTGGGCCTCTGGAGCAATCTCTCTAGAATTCTGGCTTCTGAGATGCCATGTCCCCTAGGGCTGGGAGGAGGCAGGCCTGCTGCACACCTGGGCACTCTTTGTACCTTCAGACACCTGCAGGCTGCCCCCACCTCGTTTCCCCTCTAAGGTAACAGAGGGGTCCTTTCCACAAAACCCCGATAGCACAGACATTGTGGTTCATGTACAGTGCCTGGCACACATACAGGTGCAGTCACCAGGAAGAGGGCTCAACCACCCACTGGAAGTGTGGCCTCCACGCAATGTCTTCGCCTTGGGAGAAAAACAACTTCCTGCCCAAGGATAAGGGCAAGAGTCACAAGAACGAGCTGAGCTGCTTAGAAAGGTTGATTTCTCCCCCTTCCCTGGGTGCCTGGTGACTTGGGGTCAGGGCTGGGCTTATGACCTAAGGGTCATGTAACACCCACAGCAGCAACTGTGAGCCTGGGGTGGAACCCATAGTGAGAGAGCTGAGAGGGTCTGGCTTTGCACTCTAAGAATGGGGTGACACCTGTTCTCTCTCGAATCTGCTTCTTTCTCAAGAGCCCGAACAACATCTTCCAGCTGCAGAAGTTTGGTTTTCACATCAGTCCTCTCTTTCTCCAGCACCGCTTTGGACTCTTCTTTCCTCCAGGTGTTGAGCTGTTCCTGCCCAGCTGCACTGGGGTCAGTGGGCCAAAGGCCAGCAAGTGTGGAGCCCCTTCTGGTAATATCAAGCCACAGTCCCTGATCCAGGGTGCACTCTTCCTGCCCCTGGTTGCCCTCTGCAGGGGCCAGCTCTGCATTCTGGAGAATAACCTGTTGCCTTTCAGTCTCCTTTGCAGGGCTCAGCCCAGGCTCCATCTTCTGGGGCTGAGATAGTGTGGCATCTCCCAAGAGCATCTCTGGGGCTTCAAGCTGGCTCAGGCTATCTGAACTGCCAGCAGAAGGTTCCAGTTCCTCCAAAACCACTCTTCTGTCTTTCCCAGGTGGGTGTACCTGTGACTTCTCTGTAGGAGCAGAAGCCACCTGCTTGGCCTCAAGCATACTTCGACTGTTTTTCCTGAGGTCAAGGCTCTCTGAGGGTCCTTTGGATGCCTGGGTATCCCTGCACCTAGCTTGCCCACAATCAGGTCCATTGCTATGTCCCCACTGGGTCAGGAGGGGATCCTTCCTGCCTGCATGAAGGGGCGCAGGGCCAGCTATATGCTCTTGCTCAGCATCTACCACCACTGTCCTGTCATTCAAGAGGGCCTGCAGCCTCTGTGTTTCCCAGGTGAGCCTTTCCACTTGCTCCTTCCAGTCAAGTTCTAACTTCTCCTTCTCGAGGGCAAAGACCTTGCAAAGCTGTGCTTGCTCTTCACTCATCAGCTCCTGCAGCTTCAGTTGCTGGCTTTTACAGCGAGTGACGATCTCCTGCTCCCTCTTTTCCCTCTGCCCCCTTTCCAGGTCCAGCTGTTCCGTTACTGCTCTCACTTGCAGCAGGTGTCTCTGCAGCATCTCTTCTTTCTCTCGCTGATGTTGTAGAGACACATTTTTACAGTGGGCAGATTGCTGGGCTTCCATCCACAAGAGCTTTTGGTTCAGCTCAGCTTCTGCCTCTTTCCTACAGAAACAGAAGGCAACACAGACACTGCCATCTGTAGCCCCGAACCCCAGGTTGGGGAAGGTCGTGCAGGCTTTTTTTGTTCTAGCTGAGGGACTCCTCTCTGCTTGGCTTGCCTGCTCTATCCTTTCTCACCACACACACCTTCCCAGATTTCCATCTGTACCCTGCACAGAGGATCTGCCCTCCAAGAGGTTAGGTTCTACTTATGGAAGCCAGCACAAGTCACTCATGCATATGACTTTAATGTAAACTGATTAAATAGAATTAAAACCCAGCCTCTAAGTTACAGAGGCTACATGTCAATGCTCAATAGCCATGGCTGGCTGGCATCTGCCATAGTGGACAAAACAGATGCAGGAAACACCCTTCGCTGCAGAAGTCTGTAAAGACAGCACTGGTCTGAAGTTCTCATGAGACAGGTGAAACACGCCCTTGGTCAAGTTACTCCCGCAAACCCTGGAAGTTGCTGGAGTCAGGGCCTTGGCCTTAGCAGTCCCAGAGGATGAAGTCACAGTTGCCATGAGGGATGGCTGTGGAGCCTACATATGGCACAGCACGTTCTCTGCTCCTGACTAGTGCAGGACTGCGCTTGAGCAAGGGACACACCATGGCTGGGGCTCCCGCTCCACCGAGGAGTCAGGAGAGGGAAGAGTGAAGCTCCACTAGAGCCAGATGCCTGGGCTTCGAGATGGTTCAGGGGACAGGAGCCGCCAGGCTTCACTTAGCCCTCTGCAGCCCCGGGGGGTGTGAAGGGAGCTTGTCTCACCCCTTATACAGCTCTTGGGCTTAAGAGAAAAAACTTAAAGCTCATCTATGCTCTGCAGTGTTTCTGCAAACCCGAGGCTGCCTGCTGGTGCCAGCCTGGAGTGGAGGGGAGTGAGGGTGGTGGGGGCGGGGGAAGGGAGAGGGGAGGTGTTCAGGCTCAACCTCCATGTGAAGATGGTTGGGGGTCTGCTCTGGTGGGGTCACATCCACTTGGCTCCAGCATCAGAACCAACCCAAGTGCAGAGCCCTGGATGAGGAACACAGGTTTGTAGTAAGCACCCAAGCCAGGAGCTGCCCTGGCAATGCTGGGCCATGGCACTGGCTGGAGTTGTGCTCGGCTGGCTGCTGTGCCCCTCCCCCACCAAGAAAAACCCTCTTTATGGGGAAGGGAGGAGCATGGCATCTGCAGCAACTAGTTACTAAGTTACACCCAGAAAGAAAGGGCGCATGGGGGTTTCTCATGTACTGAAGACTGTTAGACACAAAACATCATAGTTTGGTTTTCAAAAAGCCTTTTCTTTCCTTATACATTTTAGCCTTTTTCAAGAACCTCAGGAAGTCAAATTAATCTTTTCCCCAGTGTTTAGGGCTTGCGGTCTTCTAACCATCTCTCCATCCATCCCACCCCATCCTGGGAAATCAGAATGATACTGAACAGTGAGAACACTGTCTCCACAGCTACCAAGCGAGTCTGAGACCAAAGGTAAAGAACAAATCAAACTGCTTCACGGCCTAAGCTCTGCGACCACACATTTCATTCAGGGTAAAAAGGAATTCACAACGACTTATTCTTCTAGGGCTCATCCACCACCACCCAAGGTACCGTGACAGGGCAGACTGCCTATGTCCAATTCAAATTTTGGCTCTTGCCCAGAAAGCCTGGGTGTGAGATCCTGAAAGGAAACGTCACCCGCACCTGATCTGCAGCAGCTCACTGCGGTGCCTCCGCTGCAGCTGCTCCTCCAGCTGCTCCTTCTCGCACGCCAGCCTCCGGGCCAGGCCAGCCAGTGCCTGTGCGCAGCGCTGCTCCAGCTCCACCTTCTGTAGCTCCAGCTTCCGCTCCAGCTCAGGGTCGAGGGCCCTGTTCTGGAGCTGCTCTTGCAGGCTGTGGATGACGTCCTGAGATTTCTGGTGGAGCGTCTCCAGGTCTGCTTTCTGGTCCTCCAGCACCTGAACCTCGAGCCTGAAAGCTTGCTCCATTTCTTTCCTCTCCTTCGCAAAGTCCCTCTTCACCACCTCCAGTTCTCTTTCATAGTAATTAACCTGAGAAGAGGAATGTAAGCAACATCAGCCAGGAGGCCCCAACGCCTTACCTGATAACACAACATGGAATAGGAGGCTGCCAGACACAACCTCCAAAGAGCAAGCAGCCTAGACCCAAGAAGTGTAGAGACCCATGAAAAGACAGTCGTACTGATGGCCGAGGCTCCTCAAGTGCCCAGAGTGGCCATGTGCTTGGCTGTACCCCACAATGTCACAACAGTCCCATGAGGCTGGCTTGGCGGGGGAAGGGATTGGGGGCCAAGTTGGGCAATGCTTGTTTTGGGAGCATGAAGCTCGCAAAGGGTGGCAATGCTGAGAGAACTGTGGAGGCTTTCCAAGGCCAGTGGGTGGCTCTGAGCACTTTGGAGAACCCAGTGGGCAAGGCTGTGGCTTGCAGCTCACAGCTAATCCAAGCAGGGAGCCTGTAGCATGACTGCGTGCCCCACCAGCTTGCTGCTGCTCCGACAAAGGCATCTGACACCTGCTGCCAGGTCACAAACACTGGCCCTTAGCACCACAACCTAACAGCAAGGTCATGTGAGAAGATGGGTTTGTCCGGGTGGGCCTTCTAGAGGAAACCATTGAGTACCCTATAAAGGGCAAATACCATGGTCACTTCAGTTCATCACAGAGCTGGGTACCATGGCAGCCCTCAGTGCAGGGCCATAAAATCCCCACTACTAAGTCACTCCAGAATCTCATCTAGCATGATTCTTGTGTAACACCCTGGGATACAACTCTATTCTTTCCATGTTTCTACTTATTCCTATGGCCAAAGAGGAGGTGAGACAGGTGTCAAATTTACTCTTCTGTACAGACTGCCCCTGCTATCCCTGAGCAGGGCAGATGTGTGGGCACAGACATGTCAGCACAGCTGAGCACAGCTTTCTGGGTGTGGCAGGCCTCCCCAGTCTCCCTGTAGCCTCCCCCACTTTCCCTGACCTTGGTCTCCAGCTGGATCTTGAGGTCGTGGTAATGCTCCTTCACCTTCTCCATCATTATTTCCATTTCTATACTCACAGGAGCTGAATCACCAGAGAACAAGGTGGTGCCTGCAAACAAGGTCATTTCTGTTTATGTCCTGCCAAGGATGCCATGAGGTCCACTCCATCCTCCCCCCACTGTTTGACATCTGGGCACACCAGTGTTCACTCCAACTTCCCTCCACCACCCCGACAAAGCGCCATCTTCCACAGGCAGCTGAGGGGCAGCGGAGCTTTGGTCAGGAGATACTCTCAAAGTTCCACAAATGGAGCTGTTCACCCTTTTCAAAGTTAGAACTCTTTGGAAATCAGTATTTCAGGTCTTTGCCAGACAACAGATAACTGGGTACATTTACTGCACCCTAAATCCTGTTCCTTAACAACAGCAGGTACACAGAAGAGCTGGGAAGATTTTGGAAGGAGTCTAGCCCAGGGGCCACCTGTGCTCTGTGATGCTCCCCCTTTTCTTGGAAGCCCTATCTTACTTACTACACCATACATAGGACATTGGGGTACAGCAAGTAAGCCAGGCAGAGGCTCAGACAGGTCACTGGAAAGGGGATATGAGTGACACTTGTTCTAGAAGTTTCTTCTCACCACAATGTCAGATGTCAGGGAATTTATTTTGATGAGGCTATGTGGAGTCACAAGTACCACTGACCATCCCAGAAATACCAGGGGTTCCCAACACTGCATGTGTTGGGGGCCTGCCAGAGGAATGACTGAGAATGTGGCTTGTGGCCAGTACTAGGGTCTCATCTGTGCTGTTCTAGGGGCCAGCAGGGTGCAGCAAGACACAGCCTCTCATTCTATCTCCTACTTTCCAAATTACTTCCCATGAAAAATGATGACCAGCTCAGAACAAAGGGCCCAAGAGAACTCAGAATAAGCAGGAAAGAAACATCGAGCTTGCCCAACAACCAGCAGCTAGCCCCTGGATCTGGCTGTGTGGGCCCAGAAGAACAGGCACCCACCAGGATTGGCTCCAGGGGACGTGAAGCCCCGCTCACAGCCAGGTACCATGATCTGCCTCAACTCTGCTGGCATAAATGCCCGCCAGCTGCACAGACCCCTCTCCTCCTTGGAAAGGTGCGCTTCAACCTCTGTGGTCAGGACAGGGCAAAGGGAAAGAAAAAATTGGTTTTTATCCATGCCAACATGAAGCTCGGGACTGCCTTCCAAAGGCACAGTCCCAGAGCTTCTGGACAAGGACTATTTTGGCACAGGACCTCAGCCCTGCTGAGGTTACAGTCTGGAGTTCTTGACAAGGGTCACAATGTCTGTGCAGATAAGGCTCCTCTGGGGACCGAAGTGGTAACGATCACCTGTGGCCCAGAGGCCCAGCAGAGCTGGTCTCAGGTCGCATTCACCTAGAGATTTAAAAATACCGGAGGGCTGGCCCCACCCCAACACCTCCCAGGTGAGGGCGGTCAGGTGGTGCATCTCAGGATCCCTCCTGTTGTAATACTACAGCCAAAAGTGAGGTCCCTTCGGGGCCAAGGAAGCTGTACCCCTTTCCCCCCATGATAGCCCCATGAACAGAACCTTAGTCTTGGGAAGTAGCTTTAGGACATGGGGCCTCCAAGAACTCCCCAGGTTGGAGGTGGGAGAAGATATTGCTCAACGTGCTGTGACTTTGTGATATGTGACCAACAGGTATTCCCATGGGCAGTGGTGGGTGCAGTGCCACATACATCATGTGAACCCCCAGGTGCCAGGAAGGGTGGCAACCAACTGCACCTTGCCTGTCCTGTGGAATTTGAGCTCCCCGTTCTGACACAGGCTTAGCACATGGAGCTTTCCCCCAAACTCACAGTTGAGTTAGGAAGCCTGAGGGCCTGTCCTTTGGGGTTCACCCTACAGGGCGGTCATCCTGCCCCCTCAACCCCAGGGCACCTCACCCAGGGCAGCAGAGGTGAGGGACAGGGGCTCTGACTAAGGCGAGTCCGGGATGCATTTTGCGGGTTAGCGCCTCCTCTCCTGCGGGAGCTGTCAAGTGGGCTCCCTGTCCAGCTGACGTTCATCTGTGTGCCCAGCCAGTGGACCTCCCACACCTTCCCTGAGCTTAGGCAAAGTCACCCTAACCTTCACCATTTTTACCCAAATGGTGAAACCCTCTAGCCCCTCTACCTTCCTGGGGCTCTCTGTAAGCCCCTGGCCACGGTTCCCGGGGCCTTTCTGCAGGGGCATCCTGGGGACCTGATGTGCTGTGTGGCAGGCACCTCCTCTAAGACCCGGGTCCTACCTGCTGGACTGAGCCCAGGAAGCAGCTGTCCCTCCGGCTGTGCGCGGAGACAGCCTCGGGGGCTTGGGGGCAGCTGTGATCGCAGGCCTTCCAGGGCAGCCTGCAGTTCGTCATTGTGGTCCTGCAGGTCCTGTGGGGCAGAGCAGACACCCTCTCCAGCTATGGCAGCCACAGGCCTGAGGAGCAGTGTGGCACAGGGACAGGGCCCCAGAACACCTGTGGCTAAGCCTGCTGCAAGGCAGACAGGGCCCCGGCACCTGACTCAAACTGCATCTAAGTTCCTGACCACATGGGAGCAGCACAAAAGCAGGTTGTCATCTCTCTTACCTTACATCTAGCACCGCTTTCTGTCACAGATATACGGGAGGGGCTAAATGCAGAGTGGGGTGGAAACACAGGAGAAAGAGAATGAATACTTGTTTAAAACTAGTGATACTGGGTGATGGGATTCTCTCCTTGGCTGGGGTTGAATCTGCAAAGGACTCTGCAGCTTTTGACTGGATGCCTAAGATCAAAAACCATAAAGTACAGAGGCGCTTGTGAAGAAGAAAGGATGGGGCTGGGCCAGCATGCCTGTGGGGCAAGGGTGCGGCGTGGTTTGGGGACATGTATAATTTGTTGACACTCTGAACAAGCACCCTGTCACCTGATCTTGAAAGTCACCTGATCTTGAAAGCGTAGAAAGGACATGGTTTATAGGAAACTTCCCCAGGTGGTTTCACAACCGGCATACACGTTGGTGCACACGCCAGGTTCACTCATTTCTGCAGGTCAGAAGTCCCCTCCTGGGCTGTGTGGCTAGTGACTCCAGCTAGAAAACAGCAACCAGCTGGGGTTCTCCTCTGATACTGCTTCTAGGGGATGTTCAAACTAGCCACGGCCACAGCCAGAACTTGGGGCCCCAGTCTGTTGCCCACCATGGGGCCCCATTTCGCTGATTTCTGAATCTTATTTGAGTCTTGTTTCCAGGCAGCTCTCATAATCTTCCTGAAGCTGTGCCTGGAAGCCAGTGGCTGGCCTATCGCAGCATCTTCACTGGGGAAGGAGCCCATCATAAAGGTGGTCGGTTGATGCAGCACAGGCAGAGTAGGAGGGTAATTGTACCTGCTCGGAAGCCCCTGGGCAAGTATGGAGTTTCCCCTGCAGGGGGGCAACCCTAGCCCTGGGAAGCATAGGGCAGAGAGCAGTGAAGGGACTCCAGGTCAGGGACCACAACCGGCTTCACCTTGCCTGCTGTCATCATTTCCTTAGCCCTGCCACGTCCAGGACACCAGTGCGCATTCCAGCCACTGAGCACACCAGGTGTGGTCAGTCTGAATCAAGATACCAGATTTCAAAGACTCACTAAAAAGGATGCAAAATGTCTCATTGAAATCTTACACTATGGTGTCTCCCTGGTGCTGCAACAGATTAAGCCACAGCACTATGAAGCTAGCCGCAGCCACTGCAGCACAAGTTCAATCCCCAGCCAGGGAGTTGACACACATGGCACAGACCTCTCCTGACCCGCCTGCTGCTCCCCTCAGCAGTGTACTTCGTCCATCTGCCTGTTCTGCTCCCCACTCTGTCTCTGGTGAAGCCTCTCACCACCCCTGAGCCTCTGGCCTGTACCCCAGTTCTGTATGCACAAATAAATAAATCTTTTAAAAAAAAATCTATACTATAGGTTGAAGTAACATTGTGGATATAATGTATTCAAAAATATATTATTAAGATGAATGTGACCTATTTCTTCTTAGACATTTAATGCCCTCCCTTCCTTCCTTCCTAAAAATAACTTGTATGTCACATGTGTGACTTGTATTGTTTTTCTTGGACAGCACTGATCTAGTTTATGCCCTGGCCCGTCATGCTTCTTCTGACACCCTAGTTAGGTATTAGGTATTGGGTGACATACTGCACAGACTTCTCAGGACCCACCAAGCTCAGCTAGGGTCACCAAGATGACATGGGTCAACAAGTGCCCAGCAGGGCTGGGAGCCAGGGTCTATCTGCTTTCAGATGGACCCCATATTTATGTGGGGTACTAATGTATGACTACGGTGGCTCTAGTCAGTGCTTTGGTAGCAAAGTCTGAGAACTCTGCACCGGTGGGCTTTTCTTGTGATAAAGAGAAGCAAGCTCTAAGGGAAAGCAGGGGAAGGTAGATTGAACAGTAGCACTGAAAAGTGTCTGGGGGAAGGCAGGTGAGGGTGTGTAGAGGATGGTGTGCAGGCTGGTGGGGGTGGCAGGTAGAGCCGGAGCAAGCACACAAGAACAGCTGAAGAACTGCATTGTGGGACGGGGCCGGGGGCGGGGTGGGGGGGGCGGTTTGAGGCTGTCTCAGCTGTGTGCGTCTCAGCCATTCTGACTGCTAAAACAAAATGCCATAGAATCGGGTCTATAAACAATTGAAATTTTAGTTCTCACAGTTCTCAAGGTACAGGCAAATTTTGCACCTCAATCCACAGCTCTCTGTCTTTTCCTATGTCCTCACATGGAGGAAGAGGAGAGATGGGGGAACTCTTTAAGGTCTCATTTATAAAGGCACTAATGCCATGCTTTTTTTTTTTCTTTTCCAGTAAAACTTAAAATTTTAATTTTCAAGTCGTTTTCCAAAGCAAAATGAATGCAGTGCATATCAGATCACCTAATTAAAATTAGCACAATTTAAAAAATGAACAGTAGTTTTATTATATAAATTTCCCCATTTATTATAGGCTAGCAATGTTTTACATGGTGGAACTGATCAGTCCTTCACTCCTTTCAGTCCTTCAGTCTCTGATGGTGGACTTGACTTTGATGGCAGAAGCATTCAGGTCTAGGCCCCACCAGCTACTGTCCTCATGCAGGAACCACAGTGCCAGATCTCCACAGCACTACTCTTCACCTGATTTTTTCACATAGGGAGCAAGTAGTGTACCTAGCATGTCAGCAGATTTCAGTTTTCTTCACCACTTCACCATCTTGGTGCCCATATTTACTGACAATCCTGACCTCCTTGGAATATTTGAACATGTTGCTTAACTATTATTAATGGGTCTGAGCCCAGAGACACTAGTTAACCCAATCTGGAGGGCTCCACCTTCAAGACTTAATCACACCAAAGGTGTCACCTCCTAATACCAACACTGGATATGAGGCTTCAACACAGGAGTGGGGAGTCCTCACATTGTCTTTAACAGTGTGGAAAATCTGTATTTGGGGTTCAGATTAGGGACATGCTACTCCATTATAGTGTCCACCCAAGGCTACAGCAAAAGCATGAAACTACAGAGGCTCTCCATGGAGGATCCAATGGACATTTCCATGCCCTTTCCAAAGGCAGCCTGGCCAAGAAAGCTGACATTGATGGAAGAGGAGGGGAGGGGAGGGGAGGGGAAGGGAGGGGAAAGGAGGGGAGAGGGTGGGGAGGAAGAAAAAGGAAGGGAAGGGAAGAAAGAAGGAAGGAAGGAAGGCACAGTTTCCTTGCTACAAATACTCTGGGTGAAGGGACAGGCTAAGCAGTGACTGTGGAATGATTGGGAGAAGCTCAGAAGGGAGGACTTTGTAGTCTCTTTTTCCTCTGGACACTGAGTATCTTGAATGCATGGAACCACTGGTCATACAAAACAACTAAGTATGGCGGTAATATGTCATTAGGACACAAAAAAGCTAGCAGGCGCTCCCACTGGCCAAATCTTGCAGGATTTGAGCACAAAGTAGGTAACCACAATAATGAATTAGAAACTATTAAAAAAAGGGAATTAATGAACCCATACCAATGACAGATATAGATGGATATAGAGATATAGGGCCTCTCTGGCTTACAGCAGAATACCAAGGAGTAACTGAGAGGTATGCAGGGGTGCTGGAGTTGGAAGGTCATTATTTCTGCAACCATCATGTTAAAGATTAGAGTAGGCAAGAATTATTGATAGATAGGAAATTCAGGAAAAATTTTGATGAAGAGCAGGATGTTTGCATGGTCTTTGAACACTTCCCACTAACTGATTATTGGTTGCAAGGAAGAGAAAAAAAATACTTCCTTGACGAGGTGGACACATAACCCATTCTGTGTTCTAGCCGAGAATGAATACTATTACTTTAAAAAAAAACCAGAAAAACACAAAATGAGAAGTCATTAATGTGCAAGTACCAGGAAAACAGTCTCATCCCACCTGTGTGGGTCCAGGTACGATGCCTCTCCAGGAAGATCCGTAGTCTTTGAACATTTCTGTGATACAAATAACTCCTGCGAAAGCTTACTTTAAGCTATCAAGGATTTAGCAAGCGCCTAGTAAAATTCCTGGACATTTAACATTTAACATTTGACTCTGGTATTCACCGCAATGAATGTGCCCACTGATATATTCAAGGGTGGAAAGACATGCAAGTAACTCACCCCCACATGATTTAGAAAGTAACTGTCCACACCTCCCTCCCCCCCACACACAGAGTAAGCGAGTGTGCAACCACAGAGCAATAGGGCAAAGTGTAAACAGCGGTGATTCCAGGCAAAAGGTACCTTGCACTATTTTTAACTTTGGTAACTTATACTGGAAAACACTTTCAAATAAAGTTTTTTTAATGCTCCAAATTATTTTTTTTGACAGTCAAAAAATATAAAAAAAAGGGGGGGAGGAAAATTTTATTTTTTCTTTTTTAAATATTTATTTATGCATATAGAACTGGGGTACAGGCCAGAGGTGCAGGGGTGATGACAAGAGTGGAGAGCTGAACAGGTAGATTGACTGAAATACACTGCTGAGGGGAACAGTGGGCGAGACAGGAGAGGTCTGCTGTGCCATGTGGATTACCTTCCTGGCCAGGGATTGAACTTGCACTAAAGTGGCTGGGACTATCTTCGTAGTGCTGCGCTTTAACCAGCTGCACCACCAGGGAGGGCCCGAGGAGGGAAAATTTCCATATAAATCAGCACTAAAATGTTAAACATTTCTGCTGATGTTTCCAAACGTAAAACTGAAGAACCAATAGGGACATGAGTTGAAGTAAGTAACATAATCATGTTAAAGAGAACAGGGGTTTATACATGTGTGAAAAACCCCATGTGCTAAATAAAGTAATGTGGTTAATTTTAAGTGCCGTGTCTACACAACAAGCTTAGAGGGAAGAAAACGCAACACAAAACTATAATTCCAGGCACAAAGTTACTAGGGGCAGTCTACACGACAGTCCCCAGTGCAGGTGGGTTCAGGAGGAGGATGGCATAGCTGACCACAAAGGGTTCTGTGTGGAGTCTGGAGCAAGAGGAAAGAGCAGAGGGCACACACTTCAAAATAGCGAGGGCTCACCTGTATCCTCTGGGTGGCCAGAGCATCATGCAGGAGGAACAAAGTGAATTCTTTAGTGTGAAGGGAAATCACTAAGAAGTAAATCGGCAGACTCTTAACACCAATAATGCTTTATCTGTTGGGGTCTTCAATAATTTTCAGGAAGGTGATGATATATCTCAGCACCTCTGACACCATCCACCTCCCCCACTCTATGTTGCACCTCAGTATTGTCCACTGAAAGAAGCCTACCTTCAAACATTCAACAACAGATAATGCGACGAAGCCTACATACTACATAGCACCTGGGAAGCCAGAGAGGCCTTTAGGACAGAGGCTTTTTAGCGACCTAGGCCACTGTGTCAGGCCCACCTGTGTGGGTATGGGCACAGACAGTGAGCTGCAGCTCATAAGCCCTGTCCCACCTCTGAACACCAGACTTCGTTGCCTCTGCCTGCACTGCGAGGAATGATGTTCCTGCTGTCCCAGGCCAGAAGACCCTTCCCATGGATATTAAATGTCTGGGGGACATTCTGAGGGATGCAGTTAACCCAGATAGATGTTAAGGACCTGCATCATCACCCCATCTCATGTGTTCCAGCACCCCCTTCTTACTAAGCATGGCAGGAAGAGGCAGCACAGCCCCTCTGGCACAGGTGAACTCTGGGGCCAAGCCCTGAGAGTGGACCCTCCTGCCTTCCTTACTGCAGGTGGGATGGGGCTGCAGGGCAGGGCTGCCTTGGACTTCATATCACAGATAAAAGGGACCGTCCAAACCAAGACAAAGGAAATGCGCCAGCTCAGCATGGCAAGAGGGTTGGCAGGACACATACCCGGCACTTGAGCTCGTAATCCTTCAGAATCTTCGAGAACCGCTCCTCTTGGGCCAGGAGCTCCATGTTCTGTGGCTCCAGCTGAAAGACCCACACAGGAACATGAAGACCCCAGGACACATGCCTTCCTCTCTACCTCCCCTCCCTTTGCTTGAAATGTCTGTCTCAGGGCAGAGGGATGTTCTACATTTATGGGAGGTGGCCAAGCAAACACTTGGAGACTGTGGTGCACCCCTGCCTCAGCCCCCACCCAGCCTTGCCCTGGGTAACAGTGTGCTCTCCACCTCCTTCCGAGGAGATGGGCAGAGGCAGCGAGCTCATTATGGACACTGAGCTCTAACCACCCTTCTGTGCTCCACAACCTTCCCTTCCCCCTGCCTGCCTTGCCCCGAACCTGTCTCTGGGCCTGTCAGATGGTAGTGGCTGAGACCTTGTCACAAACAGGCTGGCATGTGGGGGTGGTCATGTAACTGGGTGGTCCCTAGGAAAAGGGTACGTTCCAGGTTCCCTGCCCCACCCAGAAGTAGGGTGGAGCTGAGGAGAGAAAAAGGAGAGAGAGAAGGAATCTAGAAGAAAGAATGCAGCAGGATGGAGAGCCAGGAGACCTGAGGAAGCCACATGGAGCAGCAAGCATGTGATGAAGAAACCGGGCTTGTTTCCTGGCCCTGGACTGGTTAAGGCAGATGTGGGTGAGATACCAGTAGGGAGGTGACTATGGCAGTGTTTATACCGATTTTGATTTTGCTTTTGCTTTTTTCTTCCCAGATTTGTCTGGCCATTTCTGACACTTTTCTATGGGTCCCGGCCAGAAGGTGCTTTAGTTTTGTGGCGGGCTTTCAGGCCTTGCTTTGGACCAATTCCTTTTGCATTTACTTTTGCCCACGAGGGGATGGGTAACGTCAGGTGTTTGATTTAGACATTAAATTCTTTGTCTTTTGTATTGTATACTCACTAAATTCAAGTTCCTTTTCATTAAAGTCTTACGTGTTTTGTCTTGATGCGGCAGATGGCAGAACCTACTTAGAGCAGGCAGGTTTGGGGGTTCAGTGGTGCCCCTCTCCCTGCACTATCAGGAAGAGGGAGTGACAGGGATCTGGGAAAGTCAAACTACTCTTTCCAGGCTGGAATTTTAGTAGAAAAACCCTAAATTCAGTAGCGTATATTCTTTCTCAAGCACTGACTCTCACTGAACATTTTATGGACTCCTCTCTAAAGTAAGAAGATCAGCAAAAGGACTTGCCTTATCCTTCAACACAAACTCCAGATCTTTCTGTAGTTTCAGGGCCAACTTCTCTGATTCTGACAGTTTTTCCACAACTTCAATAATCTCCTTCTGTAATCGACTGTTTTCCTACAAAACACAGACCAATAGCTTTTTAGGTTCTGGGAATGAGCAAGAGCTGTCAGTACGCTTGTCCCACGCCAAGCAAGAGGCTGGTTCCCAGCAACACTCAGATTACCAGGGTGAAAGAAAACCCTTTACAATGCAAAGCATCTGGCGCTCTATGCCAGGTACCTTGCAAAGGGTGTGTGCTAGTGGTTGACCCACAGCCCAGGGACAATCTTACTGCTTCTATTTCTCCTGCCCCCACAATACCATGTTGGATACTCACCAAAGCCCAGGAAACCTCTGCTCTCAGCCATGTACCCCAGGTCTAGCAGAGTACACTTTAGGTTTTAGTCTTTTTCTGACCATACCCCTGCCCTGGCCTTAGGGGTTATGCAAAGCTGGTTGTTGCCTCTGTCCTTCCCTGACCACACCTTACCAGATCCAGACTAGAAAAAGCCCCGAGGATCCCCACCTGTCCTGCTACCCCTCCATGGCCACAGAGAACAGAGGGTCAATGCCACGCTAGCAAAGGCAGGATTCTTCCTCCTTTTGCTGAAAATGTGCCATCTCCACGGCTGTGGCAAATGGTCCTTAATTTGAAATCCCAGACACTCCCGTATCACTGAAATGGAAGCTTCTTAAAGCTGTAGAGAGTTCAATTATCCACTAAGAAACCACAGTAGGAACTGGTGCCTCAGGCATCACTGCTGGCTCTCCACACCCTGCCCCTGCCCCACACCTACCTTCATGACCAGGCTCAGCTTCTCCCGAAGGCCAGCCTCCTCCACCCTCAGGCGCTCCAGGTCTGTTTCCAGTGTGGCCCTCTGCCTGCGGGCCTGCTCCCAGAACACCTCACGTTCTACTTCTACCTCTGACCGCAGGAGGCTCAGTCTTTCTCTGTACCCCTGTTCCAGGTGTCTGTAAGGCACAGGAGTCCTTCTGTAACAGGTACAGGTTTCGTGGACTCCGCCCCCACTCCAGATACTGGAACTCCAAGTCCCATCAGTACCAAAGAGAAGCACGCCGGGACGTGAGGGCGGAGCTGAGCAGCCAGGTAGGGATAAAACCGGACATGTGGGCTCTGGGGTCTCTTGGCCTGGTGGTTTGTGGCTCTCGATCGGTTTTCAGCGTGTCAGTGGAGTCCAAGTCAGCAGAACTGGTAGGACATTCTAGTTAACTTGTATTTCTCTCCCTCTTTCCCTGGGCTATTCCTTTACCTTTCTCCTTATAAATAAATCCATTATTTAACCTTTTTGAGTGTGTCCATAATATGATTGAATCGTAAGCACGAGGGTGAAGACCCACAGATGGACAACCCAATTCACATTGGGTGCCCTGTAACACTTGGAGTGGAATCTCCCTGCCTGTGGCTCTTTGCCATATCCTCTTGTGTTAACTGTTCATCTCGACAGGCAGGGCCACCAATCATGGGCTGGCGGAGGTGTCCCCGCAAGACAATGGGAGCTTGTGTTCCCTAGAGCTTGGGGGTAAGCCAGTGAATACAAATCTTGAGGGCTGTCTCTTTGACACCCCTCTGCCTCTCAACTTCTATGACACAGGAAACATCGAATGCCCTTACTAACTCAATGTGCACAAAAGCATGCCTCTCTCAGACAGGAGACAGGCAGCTAGGTCCCATGTATGGTAAAACTAAAAACAATCAGAGAAAAAGAAGCACTTTCCCCTCAAATTTTGCCTTAATCTTTTACAATAACCATTTCTATCAACAGGAAAAACCAAGTCAGTTTATTACTGCAACAGTTGCTTGACAGGATGTTTCAAACCATGTCCATCTTCAGCAGAAGGCTTGGCTGCACTAATTAAGCATAAGAGAACTCCACTGATAGTCTAGAGACTTAACCTTGTCTCAACTTTAAAGAAAGCATCCATAGGCAAAGGAGGATAACTATTACATATGAGAAAACAGTAAGAAAAGTTAGGCTCATTTAACACTCCACAAACACTGGATGCATATTTGATCATATCACTCCACCCTTTGAAAATGTTTGACATATCTAATGAGAGGGAAATGGTTCAATAAAACATGGCAGAGCCATATAACTGGATGTTCTGAGGTCACCAAAAAAATATATTAATACTGTTTTGTAATAATTATGTACCTGGGAAAAAGAAGGAAAGGACATATAAAAATATTAGAAGTTGGGCCCTCCCTGGTGGCACAACGGGTTAAAGCACAGCAAAACAAAGCTATCTGAAGCCACTGCAGCATGAGCTCGATACTTGGCTAGGGAAGTGACCCAGATGGTGCAGCAGACCTCCCTTGACCTGCCCGCTGCTCCCCTCAGCAGTTTATTTCAATCTGCCTGTGCTGCTCCCCATTTATCTCTGGTGAATCCTCTCACCCCCCACCATCTCTGGCCTGTACCCCAGTTCTTATATGCATAAATAAATCTTTAAAAATTATTAGAAATTATAATCCCTAGCGACTGAGATTACTGCTTTTATTTTTCATTTTACTTGTGTTTTCTAAATTTTCTACAATGAATACACACCACTGCTCCCCTCAGCAGTGTACTCCGTTGATCTGCCTGTTCTGCTCCCCACTCTGTCTCTGGTGAATCCTCTCGCCTGCCTTGCGCCTCTGGCCTGTACCCCAGTTCTGTATGCACAAATAAATAAATCTTAAAAAAAAAAAACAAAAGAAAAGCACTTATTCTTAAACGTTTTTATGTTGTTTGGCCCTCCATGGTGGCGCAGCGGGATAAAGCACAGCATTAAGAAGCTAAAGCCACTTCCCATGAGTTTGATCTCCACCTGCCCGAGAGGTGACCACATGGCGCCGCACACCTCTCCTGACCCGCCCGCTGCTCCCCTCAGCAGTGTACTTCATCGATCTGCCTGTTCTGCTCCCCGCTCTGTCTATGGTAAGCCTCTCACCCTCCACATCTCTGGCCTGTACCCCAGTTCTGTATGAATAAATAAATAAATCTTTTAAAAAAAAGTTTTTATGTTGTTAGTAGAACTATTGAGAATTCATTTTGTTTATTTTTATTTAGTTGTTATTCTATGAATTTGTATTATTGTATATTCTTTAAGCAAATAGTTGATTATAAGCAAGATTAGATAAATGGATCTTATATTCTATTAGACAACAAAATGGGATTTAAAGAGCTACTTAAAAGTTTATGACAGGTTCCAGATTTATATAAGATTCTCTTATCTGATTACATTCTGTAATGATTTATAAAAATGTTCACTATTAATTTAAAAAAAAATGTTCACCAATGGAAAAAAAAAAAGCACTGCATTGTGAAGCTCTCTGAAGTCACTCACTGCTTCCCTCAGCAGTGTATTTCAATAGATCTGCCTGTTCTGCTCCTCACTCTGTCTCTGGTAAATCTTTTCACCCACCACACCTCTGGCTTGTACTCCAGTTTTGTAAGCATAAATAGGTAAATCTTTAAAAAATATATACATATATATATTCCCAGTCAAACCTGAGACTGAAATAGTCTCACTATAAGGATGTGTCTGTAAGGCCAAAAAGCCCAGGTATGGAGGGCCAGGAAAACTCCTTTTCAATAGTCCCTCCCCTGTTTGGATCTCTCTCCCTCCCCCACCCCGACTGAATGTCTCCAGTTTGTAGTTAACCTGCTGGTTTTATCTTTCTTTTTTTCTGGTTCCCATATATCCCTCCTGTAAGTGAAACCATCCGATACTTTTCTTTTTCCTTCTGAACTTATTTCACTGAGCATAATCCCTTCCCACTCCATCCATGTTCTAGCCCCTATTTTTTAATCATAGCTTCTCTCTGGAAACCCACACTGACTTCATGACCAGTTCTGCAAGTTAGGGAAGTGAGGAGAATATATCAGGTTCCCCAAGTTAATCCTCTGTGAGTCCACTGTGTGAAGTTTCTAGTTCTTTCTTGTAGCCTGTCAGCAAGAAGCTGGGAAGGCTCTGGGACAGATGGGCATTCAAGAGCATCAGCTGAATAGGCTGTCAACTGCTGATTTCTAACTAAGCACACCTTTATGATACATGTGCACACGTTCTACACGGAGGGGCACTCACCAAGGTCACCGGCCAGAACTCAAGTCCTGGCTCTCCGCACCTTGCTTTTGGCCTCATAGTGAGGACTTTATCCTTATAGTGAGACTTTATTATCTCAAGTTTGACTGGGAATTTTAAAAAGACTTTATTTGTACATACAAGATTTTTATTTATTTGTACATATAAGCACTGGGGTATAGGCCAGAGGTGTGAGGGGTGAGAGGATTCACCCGAGACAGAGTGGGGAGCAGAACAGGCAGATCTATTGAAATACACTGCTGAGGGGAGCAGCAGGCCAGACAGCTGGCTTGTGTGGGTCAGCTCCTTGGCTGGGGATTGCACTAGTGCTGCAGTGGCTGGCCAGAGCTTCATAGAGCTGAGACTTTAACCTCTGTGCCACCAGGGAGGCCCCCTGGGGAATGTTTTTTAAAGTTTGATGAAAGGCCAACTGCTCCCACATACTCCCACACACTCTCACGCAATTGGCCCCTTGCTACCAACAGGTGCCATCTCTTCACACTCCTCCATGAGCCACAAAGATAAGTGAAAAGTCAACCGGTACCTAACCAACTGTTCCAAAACAGTTTCCCAGCTGCCCAAAACATAAACTGTTTCCCAGCTGCCCAAAACATAAGGGGAATTTTCCGTTGGGAACTGGAGGTGTATGGGCTTGGCTGTGAGGCCTGCTCTGCTTGGGTCTGCTCCTGCACTGAATATGACACATAGGAAGGCAGGGGCCACAAGGGGACAGTGTGTCCCTCCCTCTGAAGCCTAACTACTCGGGTTGGAGAAGCAGGAGCCCCAAGCAAACCAGCAACATACATGGGCTCCTCCACTTCCTACTCCTCTGGTTCCCTTCTCTGTGAGCCCCAAGGCCATAGGGAGAAGGGCTTCCTAGTCATGCCAGACCATCCCCACCCACGTGGAGTCTCCCAGAGCCCGCACTTAGGGCAGGTGGGGGGAGGCAGAAGTGTCCTTGAGACTGTCCATCCAGGCATCCAGGGCACTGGGGACTTTATGTATGTCACACTGTGATACTCACAAACCTTGCTGATAGGCTGCTGAAAGAAATATATCACCTTTGAATGCTACAACCACATGCAATGCAAGGGGCACAGGTACCAGAGGCACAGGAACAAGGCGTCTACTGGCTAAAGGTGAGGCCACCTCGATCACTTGAGTCCTTGCCTCTCTGGCCCCTGGTTTCACCAAGGCACACACGGCTGACCCAACCAGCCGCACAATGGTTTTATAACTCAGCCCTGAGTTGAAAACCAACGCATTGACTGTGTGCCTCCATGTAGATAACGGGTTATCCTTGCCCCATGTTAAAGATGAGGAGCTGCAGCAAGGGTGCAGGATGACAGCAAGGGACCAACAGCAAGGACACTGGATCCTCAGTGCCTGTCTCAGTTGAACCCTTCCACCCCCAGGGGGAGCCACCAAGGGGTGGGGGCCCCTCGCAAGGGTATGGGAAGGTCCAGCAGCCCCTGGGTGTTCCACCGTAAGCATAAGAGCTGAGTAGAACAGACTGGCTTTTCCACCACACACCCTTCGCTGTCCTTGAGGGGGAAGTTCTGGTGATATACGTTTTGAAAAGGTGAGCCATCAGCTAAGCTCCACCAGGGCAGCCCCCAGGACAGGGTGGGCCCCTCTATGCAGTGAAGTTCCTCTTCCTTTGTCCAGCCTGGGAAACCTGAACTACCCATACATTTTAGGTACTAAACCGGAAGGTGGTTTGTGGCCCAAAAAAGGTCAGGACTCTTTCCTTGGGTTTCCTCAGCCTCCCATCCAACAACAGAGCAGCTGACCAGGCAGTGTCTGCACAGCACTGGGAAAGGGGATGCCTTTGGGCAGGTGTTGCGCTCAGGGCTTCCACCACATCAGCTCCTTCCTGTTCACCATTTTCTAGCTCTTTCTCCAGCCTCCCTGACTCAGCAAACAGGCACATATGGAAGACTAGGCTGGGCGGAAGCCTTGTAATAGAGGAAGCAAGAGTGAGGACAGCAGATATTTCTCTCTGCAGCACACAGCCCACAGGGCCACACCTCTGGCACCATGCTTCCACACTATGAAGAGCAAAACTGCCTTAAATATACACCCCTTTTCTCTCAAAGGAAGATTCCCCACAGGTGCAGCTTCTAGACTGGCTCAGGTGAAGTAGGAGGGCTTGGCCCACCAGGTCCAGCCGCTGGCTCAGCAGGCATGGCCCCACGCACCCCACTGCCTTCCCCAGAACTGGCTGCAGAGCAGGAGACATGCCACCTACTTGATCTTCTGCTCTGTGAGCTGCTCCAGGGTGATATGGCAGTCGTCCATCTCTTTCACAAACTCCAGGTTCCTCTTCTCGGCTTTCTCCAGATCCTGCCGTGCCTTGTCTCGCTCCTTCACCATCTGTTCCACTTGTCCCCTGATATTGGAAGGAGACAGGGTCAAATGGGGACACTGCAGCAGGCCTAGAGAGACTGTGCCTATGTGAATGACAAAGACTTTCTCTTAAAGCTACTAACAAACTTGCAGACTCGCTGCCACCAGCAACCATCTCCTGTGCTGGTGCCTACATTTCTATGCCCACTTCACAGATGTACACTAGAGGGAGCTGAACCTTGCCAAGGAAAGTTTCGAGGTGACTGAGTCCAGAGTGTGGTGCACCTCTAGATGGCCCCATGACAGGTGGGAATCTCTCAGTGTACCCTCTTATCTCTGGTGGACCTCAGAGGCCAGGAATCCCCAGCACCCAATCTGGAAATGGGTGTTATGGAGGGGAGAAGGCCGATCACCTGTTGTCCTGCCTGTGCAGAGCCTGGTGAATTGCATGTGATCAACCAGAGCAGAAGGCGATGAATGGGGTGTGTGTTGGCCTGTGTGTGTGGTGCGTGTTGGCCTGTGTGTGCGTGTGTGTTTGTGTGTGTTTTTATTGCCCTGGCTCCACTTGGCCTTCTTAGGTTCTGTGCAAATCACCATTATGGGGCTGTTTCTCCCCCTTGGAGTAGCACGTCTCTCCCCACCTGCTCCTAAGCCATCTTGCTCTGGGTCCATTTGCAGAGCTGACCAAGGTCAGTAGCTCAACCTAATCGATGCCAAGTCCTCAAGACTGAGACTGTGTTCCTGCCAATCTTTTCAGCAGTTTTATAATATCAATAAAAAGAAAACACAAAAACCCCAACTTCTATGGCAATCTGCTGAGCAGATGAATGGCTGAAATAGTTAAATCAAAGCCAAACCCAGTTTAAATGGAATGTACTTTTGGCCCAGCTGTTTCTCTGTACTCGGTGAGCTCTGAGGAATATGTCTGCCTTTCTCCTGCCGTTTGGGTCAAGTTAAGGGGTGCGTGACTGGACTGGAGGGTTCCCGCCTCTGCCCATGAGCTTCAGTAGGTTGAGTTTCCCATTCAAATCCCTTTCTTTGGAACCTTGCTAAAAGGGGCTGAAGGAGAATAAACTTCTAAGTTGCCCATCAGTAGGTGTGAGGACAAGTTGGTGGTCCTGGAGTTTTGTGGACAAAAAAACTCATCAATCTCCTGGCTTGTGGGTTCAAACCACACATATGAACCTGAAGCACAGGGGCCTCACCCTGCTTTCCCAGCCCACCTCTCCCTGTGCTCTCATCAGCACTGGCCAAGGGCCAATGGGCAGGAAAGGGGGCACAGAGCTGGAGATTTGGGGTGGTTAAGGATAGGTGTCCCATCTCCTCGGGTTTCCCTCCAACCACACCCCAGAGCAACCCAGAACATATGGGCACTTACTGACGGAAGCTCAGCTCCTGGCGGTAGCAGGCCAAGGCTGCCTGCTGAGTGGAACCAGTCACCATCATGAGCTCATTCTCAAGGGCCCAGGTCAGCTCTAAGAGGTTCACCTTCTCATCCACACTAAAGTCGAGGCTCTGAAAGTAGTAAGCCCCACGGGGCAAGGCAGAATGAGTGACTTCCCAGAATTTCCTGATACTCCTAAGGACAGTCCTGACCCAGAGCCATGCTGTCCTGTAGGTAACAACACTGCCATGTCTGCTTGCACGGTCTGCCTCTTGGGCGGGCCCCTCCCTTACCCAATCACCCAAATAAGCTGGTGCCTCCTGCTCCTACTCTCTCAGTGCTGGGGTGCCCATTCTTGTTGATGTTGAGGACCCGCAGTCCCTATCAACACTGAGTTGGAGTTGCCCCAAGCTGTCAGCACCCAGTTTTCCTGTTCCTGTCAACAATGAATTTTCTCCTTTAACCACCCTCATACCTGACAATACTGGGGTCTCCCTATCCCTGTTCCTGCCTCAGGTGTGGATGTGACCTAGGCTGGAAAGCTCTTCCTTGGACAAAGTGACTGACACAGAAGAGGGCTTGCCTCTTCATAGAGAGTACTAGAAGTTGGGGAGGGGCCTTTCCCTGCAGTCACCTGGCATTCTATGTGGGTCTCCTGACTGGGACCTGAGCCGAGGCAATACCACCAGAAACAGACAGAGGCGGTGCAAGAGGCCTAACTCATCCTTGGAACACCACGACCCTGATACCTGGTATCTTCTGCTCCCAGATACTCACTTGGCTGAATCCCTAACCTCTCCCTCCTGCTTAAGTAATTTTGAGTTGGGTGTTTGCCATTTCACACCAAAAGCATCTTAACAATATGAAATACACACACGGGTGGGTGGTTTTGTTGTTGGAAAAATGATCTGCTAAAAAGAGGTGCCACAGCCAAAGCATTCCAGAGAAGAAAATATTCTTTCCTCTCAGCACTTCGAAAAATAGGAATAGCACAAGTTATGTTATATATATGAAGTTATATAGTAATATAATAATATATAATAACACTTGGTCACATTTACTCGTCACTTTTTGAGTGTTGCACATTCTTCATTCCTGCTTCTTTCTTTGTATTGCATGCAAGTCCAGAAGCAAGCACCACATCTGGGAAGGAGCTAAGACATTCCCAGCTCACATGTAGCAATGAATGTGTTTTCATTTTTTAACTTATAAAATAGAAACTTGAGTGTCCACTGCTCCCACTTCCCTAGATGCAGACCAATGAGGAAGCTCCAGATGTTATTATTTAAGGCAAGCATTCCAGCAACAGTAGCACCCACTGTCACCAAATGGTGCAGAATGACAGACACAGATCACAGCAGCTTCCAGATCAAGAAGAAAAGCACCTGACATGCCTAGCATGTCAGATAGCTTAAGATGACCCAGATTCACACTGTGTACTGCCCTCCTCCTCTAAGAGAGGAGGAACATTATGTGACTTGTAGTCCAGAGCATGGAGACAATGGGGCCCCTCCTGGGGACCCTTGTTTGTGCTCAGCTCTGCTTTGGGAAACCAGCTGCCATGCTTTGAGCATCCTCAACCTGTCCTGGGAGAGGCCTTTGTGTGCGAAGCAAACACCTCCCATCACCCAGAGAATCTAGCTGCGATCCTACAAGCAGATGCTCAGCCCCTGAAGGTCAGCCTCTCCGAAGACTCCCATGCTTTCAGACCCTCAGTACAGACCATGGGCTTCAAGCACCCCACGAGGGCAGCTCCACGCAAAGAGACAGATCTGTTGTGCCTCAAGGCAACATTGTGGTGGTAATTCATTGAGGAGAAACATGTTATTTTCTTTTTTATTTACCTTTCTAAGTTAAAAATTTAATACTATAACAGCAAAAACTAAGAGAGTGATTCCAACTGGCCTTCACTGTGCAGAGCACTGTGTGTCTATGGGGCTTTGTCCAGCCTCATCTGTGGGCAGACAGCTCCCCAATCACCTGCCTGCCCACATGCTGGATGTTCCCAAACCTGCAAGACTTCCGTGCCATTCTGGATGCCCTCCTGGGCCCACAGGGCAATAAGCTGCTCAGGAAAGGCAAAGCCGGAGCCATCATCAAGGCTGCAGAAGAGGCGCAGGCCGGAGCAGAGAGACACGAGGGACGACGTGGTGGCCGTGGGGCAGCTCCCCTCTTCCAGAACCTGTGCGTGGATGGGGAAGATGCGATGTGAGCGAAGCACCTCCAGAACCACACCTGCTGGTCTTTTTACACATTTTCTGACCTCCCCAGGCTGTTCCTGGCCCTCAGCTGTCTCACTGAGTCCTGATAAGACTCCAAATGAACTCCAAGTTCATTTCCTAACACTATCTGCCCAAAGTCACAGGGCTTTGCAGGTGACGGGGTAGGGATTTGAACACCCCACTGACACCCAGACAGAGCACTCCAGGGACCCCAGGCACCTGCTTCTGTTCCATTCATATGAGGCTTCAATGAGGATCTGGCCTCACAAAGGCAGCATCTGAGGAGTGTGCCGGTGGCCAAGAAATCTGGCCTGTGGGAGACCCAAGGTGTGTTAAAGACAAAGGAAAATCACACATCTCTTCAGGACTTAGAAATACACAGCTCATATGTGACAGTCTTGGAGAGTTTTAAGGTGAAGGCATAAAAATCCTCTCAGCCAGAAAGCTGACATACAAGGTCCAGGTGCTAGATGAATCCAGAGAGCAAGATTATTTTCCTTGTCAAGTTTCCTTGTCAAGGTCTCTGTCTTGAGCGGGACTGTTCACAAGCACTTGCTGTCATAGTCACAGGAACAAGGATTAGAAGCCCTTCCTTCAGACTCTAGGCTGCCGACCTACTGTCCTCTAGTACCTTCTCTCATCCCTTCCTTCATGCTCCAGCATCTCCTTGCTAGAAGGCCACCCCATTGCTAGAAACAGTTCTCCCTGAAGCTTCTATAGTTGTTCCCAGCTCCAGACATTGCTCAGACTCTCCCCTGCCAGGCCACCAGTGCCCTCAGCACTCCCTTCCTTGGCAGTGCTCCCTGCATTTTACACCATCTGCATCTCCTGTGGATGCCAGCTCCCAAGCTAGTGACTGTCCTTCATCCATTCTCAGCTTATCCCTCCCTCCCTCTCGGTGAACAGCTCCCTACGACATTTGGGGTGCTTCCCAGCCCCACTGAATAGGCGTTGTACCCTGTAGGCAGAAGGGAAGCTGGCAGTGCATGAGTGTGACCTTGGTCACCCTTGGTGGGGCTCCCTGACCCCGTCACCTTCCCAACTTCTCCCTTTCTGAAGACTCTGAGTTTGAGCTAAGGCAAATCTCTACGCCATGCCAGCAGACGCCATGACGCAGGGCAAGTCACCTTGCACCCTGCATTCCTGTAGCTCAGGAAGTTGGCTCCACTCCTTAGGATACCAGAGGGGTGCACACGCCCACTCTGAGAGGGCCCCAGGGTATGAGGGGAGGCAGGTTCCACCTGACCTGGTTCAGGCTCCACTCTAGCTGTGCTTCTGCATCAGGGCACAAGAATGGGCATCTCCACCGCAGAACTGGCATCCGGCCTCTCTGGCTGTGAATGTGACCCACTGGGCCTCCGACCTTATGTGGTCTATACCCCCACCAGGCTCCTTGCTTTTCCTTTGATTGCTCTCAGGCTTTATTTACTTTTCATTTTTTAGAATTTATTTATTTATTTTTGGACACTGTTGTTCACTCTTGGACAATATTTGACTTCTCCCTTCAGGTGTACTCCCCATAGTTTTCCCACACCACAGCCCCTTTGGTGCATGATCACAGTCCCTTGTGCTCATCTCTCCCATTTTGGCCTCTTCCCCTGCTGTGTGGCTCAGATCTATGATCTGCTTGAAAATTCTGTATTTTTCCTAACCATGTGTTCAGTTTCTTTATATTCTACATACTAGTGAAACTACCCAATATTTATTGTTTCCTTCTGACAATCCTTTCCAGCTCTATCCACGTTGTGCAAATGTTGAGTTTATCTTTTTTGATCAGTGTTTTCTTGTTCTTCAGATTTAGAAACTTGATGTTCAGATGTACACAGCCTGACAGAGAACACATTAACAGCCCTGCACCACTGACCACAAACTAGCGGGTCAGCCACACCAGCAAGAAGCACTGGCAAGGTTTCTCAGAGCAATGCACCTGTGACTGGAGAGAAGGTTTTGCTGTCCTGGGACAAATGTTACGCCAGCAGTCACTGACAAAAACCACAATTTAATTAACAGCTTATACCTATTCTCTACCAACTGTTATTTGTACAAGACATGAATAACAGGGAGAGTACTAAGTGCTCAGGAAGGTGTGAGGCCTTCAGTGACACCTCTCTATGCACCAGCATGGGAGAAGGAGGGGGAACATTCTGAATAAAACACAGCCTATCCCGCAATGAGACTGACCAGGGGAGTGCCAGGTCTACACTGTGCTTAGAAGCTTCATAAACCCCGTGACCATTTTATAGTTTCTGAGCCTGAGGCTCACAGAAGGTTACTAACTCACCCAGTGACACACAGCAGGAAGAATCAGCCCCAAGGTCTCTGAGGTCCTACAGTCTAAGTCTCAGGACCCCCACATATATGCATGCATGCCTGGTCAACTCCCTGTAGGACACTGTGGGGCACTACAGAGGGGTCAGGTCTGTGAATAATGTTGAAGTTGGGAAATGACAGCTGTTACTACAGTGGTTCAAAATTCCATTTGTCCTACTTTACCTGGTAATGAGACCAGGGTCTGCTTGTTTTAACAGGAGTAGAAAATTCTGGAAGTGAAGTAGGCCCATGATTGAACAGGCCCAGCTGGAATTCCTCAAGACTCACTCTGCCATCTCCATCTTGATCCAGTTTGTTAAACAGGTCTTCCAGTTCCTAAACAAAGGCCACCATACCTCGCTCAGAGGTCTCACCTGCCAGCAGTTGCAGCCAGCAACCACTGCCATGGTTCCCACCAGCCCACCGCCATCCTCTGTGTCCTCCTCCCTCCCTCCGCAAACGCCCCCAAACAGGGCCGTGTGCTTGTCCTTGTCCAAAATAAATGTCTGGGCCAAACTTGCTGCAATTTTCCCAAGGCCATCCCTATTTCTAGATTGTGAAATCCACATATTCTGGTGAGTGTCTGGTCTGATATGAGTAGGCATCACCCAAATGTCCTCAAATATTCATTCAGTATCCATCAAGTCAGACACTTGCTGGATGGTGGTGGGATGATGTGTACATGGAGCAAGACTCCATGCTAGCCAGAGCACCAAGGAAGGCCTGCCCCTGCTTACCTCCCATCTGTCCTCCCTGATGAAAAGGAGGAGGGGTGACTACATCTGTGTGGAGCATAACAGGCTCTGGGGCACATTTTTGCTGGATGGTAGAAATGGGCCAGGCAGGAAGGGGAAATGGCATTCCAGGTGGAGGAAAGATGAGGAGTGAAGGTGCTTAGCATTGCCTAGGAGAGAGCCATGGGAGGTCAGATACGGGCTTTCAAAAATGCAGACTCCAGCAGAGGCAGTGGGGGACAGCAAAGAACTTTAGATCATAAAGTGGGGCTACTGAGTCAGTGTCTAAGGCAGAAGGGACATTTCCAGGCCAAATATATAGCACAGAACCAGCACAAGGGGCCCATCTTCCTTCTCTTACCTCTTTCTGAAGTCCCTGGAGTCCGATGCTCTGGCAGACCAAGGCCAGCTCCTGCTCAGTGAGGTGGCCGCTACTGCCGACACCCAGCTCTTCCCAGATGCCCCGGACCTGGCTCTCGGGGGTGTCACAAGGCGGGCTGCAGGACTTCCTGAAGCTTGCAAATACCTCAGAACCCCAGGTTGGCAGCTGTCCTACAGGGGGAATTGACAGGTAAACCCTGGGGTCCAGGAAGAAGCATAGCAATGCTGGTAATTTACTCTTAAATCAGATAAAGTGAATGTACACACTTGAGCAACAAAGCATAAAAGGCAGCAGCTAGGTGGTGGTACATGGAGTTCACGATATAGTTCTTTAATTTCATTTGTGTTTATAAGTTTTCATAATAAAACATTGGGGTATCTACTCCATGTGGGAGAAGATCTTTGCGAAGGGAGACTCCTAAAGCCAGACTCTTGCAAGCCCATAAGAAAGCTGTATTATTTGCATCACAATAAAAACTTATGAAACATTAATTTTTAGAAACATTCCAAACTTACCCAAAGTCAAGAGTAGAGAACAGTGAAGCCAGCACTTTTGTCACCAGACTCGGGGTGATCAGAACTTTGCGATGTGGCTTCATCTATCCCCTGTCTTTGTCATTGTTAAAGTATTTGAAGGCAAATTCCAGACCTCATGTATTTCAGCCCATTATACCTAGTAAGCATTTCTAAAATATATGGACATAACCACAAGGCCACTACTGTCTCAGGACCCCTTGGGACTACACCTATTGCTTAACCTTTCTGTTACTGAGCCCCCAGCAAAAGAGAAGTTCCACAAAGCCCTGGGCAGCTGATGCCCAATGAGAAACAGACCCTCAACTCTGCAGAAGCTTCCTGCTTTAGGGCAGTGGTTCCAGAACCAGCTAAAACCTGATGGCAGCCCTGAGACAGGGGGCAGAAAATCTGACGTCAAAATGATTCATTAACCTACTAAAACACACACCCCTGAGTGGTTATTAAAGGTGCTAATGGGAGAAGGTAGTGTATGAAGAAGTCCGTAACCCATCTTTGCATGCCCAGTGTACCCAGTGTGAAACACGTGGTGAAGCTCTTCCTGCTACCCACCCTGGTGGCCATTTCCATAAAAGTAGGCCTCCTACCTCTCTTGGGTTGATAGTGTGGTTCATGGCAGCGGCAGGTCACCCCTCTCCTATTATGTGATCCACAATAAATATTCCTCACTTGAAACCCATTATTGGCTTTTCCAAAATTTGTGGGGATTAATTGGTAGAAATTCCAATTGCAGACAAAAACCCTTTGGAATCTGCAACACTATCAAAGTAACACTCAACATTGATTTTCTAATTGTCTTACAAAAGACTTCTCACAATTGATGCATTTTAATCTGTTTCCAAATAACCCCTTAGTGCACCTGGGATTACTGCTTACAAGAGCTCTCCTGCCTCATTCCCCAGGTTGCCTTGTTTAAGAAATTGGATCCATAGATATGGAGAATGTGGACCCCATCCTGGGTCCACCTGTAATGTTTTTGTGGTGTCATTTAAGTTGTCCCTCTTTCCTAGTATTCCCTTGAAACCTGGAGTTAGCATCAAAGGCTAGTTTATTATCAGACTCATTTTTTCACCCAATTTTTTTTTTTTTTTTTTTGGCAAGAGCATCTCACAGCTTGGGCTGTGTGCTTCACACCATCACACATCAGGGTGCCTTCAAGATGCAGCCTTGTATGCAGGTTCAGGTGAGAGATGGTGCAGTTTCACAACTCTTCTTGGCATCCTAATGTGTCTGCAGCCTTGGCATTGAAGAGCATGTGGAAGAGGACAGATGTTGGGGTGTCCATGGAGAGCTATGCTTTAGACCAGAGTGTCCCTCCACTGCCAGCCCAAACTTCCTACCCAACACAGGAGAGTTACCTCTACCTCTTACAACTTTGATCCTCCTGAGTTCTGGTATGATCTGTATCTTGGGTAGAGGAGCCACATGGGTGTTAACTACTCTGATACTCCATGTTCCCCAAGGAAAGCCAGGCCTACATGCTCATGAATGACAACTGACATGGTGAGTCAGGATGAGTAAAAGCAAGGAAAGGACCAGGCTGGAAAAGGTCTCTTCTAAGAACTTTTCAAGCTTAAGATTTCTCAAGTCTCTAAGTAAAAATGAGGAAGCAACTCAAATACTAGTGTTTATTTTTCAGGGCTGGAAGAAAGGGTCAAATAAATCCTTTGAGATTTGGAGTATCCTGCACTACTGTCAGTAGTAGCCAGATGGAAAAGCTTCTTTTCAAGGCCAAGAACAGCCTGTTCTCCAGTCAGAGAGCATGAACCTGCTTCTCTGGGCAGCCCTTCTTCCTGTCACCTGAGACTGAGACCTCCAGTTTAAGTAAAGCAAGCTGTGCTGGCATGGCTTTTCTACCTGACACAGAGAGGTACCTATATGCTTTGTCCAGTATACAAGTGGAAGTCAGTCCCCCAACACTTACTGAAGTAAAAGCTGAACAAATGGCCTGAGTACTTGAAGGCCGCAAACTAGAGTTTACTCAGCAGAAATTCAAGGTTGCTCTGGCCTCCCTCTCTCCAGGCCAGGTGCCTGCTTCCAGCTCTGTGACATGCTCACATGGGAGGTGTCGGCAAGGCCTCCTCAGACTCACACACAACCCGCAAGACTTGTAGAAGTTCACTTGCCTTCCATCTGCTACAGTGAGACTCCAAAGACCCTCATCTTACTCTGTTTGGGGCGTTGGAAGTTCCTGAGGCTATTCACCCAAAGCAGGGGAGAGGCTGCATCTCAGCCCAGGATATCAGGAAGGGGTACAGGGCTAGCTTGGCAGCGACAGGCCTTACATCCCAGGGCCATGCCTGCCAGCCAAGGGTGTGCTGATTCTCTGACTGTGAAACATGGCAGAATCACAATGCCCTCTTAGTGACCTCTGTTTGAAACTATACCTCCGGGTGTGCTGAGTGACCACAGAGATGACCATCCCAGGAGAAGGAGCCATCAAGGACACCACCACACAGCTCCCTCCCCAGAGAACTGTACTTGTGTTTGGCTCACTGACCAACAACCAAGCTTCTGGAGCTCTCAAAGAACCAAAAAAAACAGCACTAAATATGAGACCAGGGCTTTACCTTGTGCTTCAAATAACTCATTCTGAGGCCGTTTAGCATTTTCAGCTTCTTCATCCGACTTAAGGCTCTGTGGAAAAACATAAAGATAAGGGTGTGAATTCCCCAGAGGATGCTACAGTGAAGGGAGCACCAGAGCAAAAAGAATAGTATGTTTGGGGACTTGGAAGGGCAACCTGAGGAAATCACCAACATCCTGGCAAGTAAAAACCAGAGCAGGCCACACCCTGAGGCCATAGCACAGACCATTCCTCTTACCCTGCAAATGCTGAAGCCCAACACAGCATAATTTGTTCTATACACACGGAGATCCTCAACATAAACTAGAACTCATTAACAATTCACAGTGAAGACACACTCAAGCTCTTGTAGGTAACAGGACAGGAAAATGCTCCCCAATCCAGCACCTGATCGTGCTATTTCATACCAGCTCTGGAGAAGGGAGGCCCTGAGCAGTGAATACCCATCATGGAATGCCACCACAGGAACTTAAATGTACTTAGGGCTCTGCAGCCTGAATCTTATCACCTGTATCTATTCAGCAGTCAGAGGAGTGTGTCTGTCCTGCAGCTCTAATGACAGCACCTCTCAGACTACCAAAAAAACACCCAACTCAGGTAAAAAAAAAAAACAAAACAAAACTGTGTTTCTGTAACTAAGTAAGGTGACCATAAAGTTAGTCTATTTCTGACAGCTGCTGTATGTCCCACGCCTGATTTTAGAATGAGGATCAGACTGACCAAAACTCAGTCCTCCTAGAGTTGAATAGTATGAATAGTATGTTTGGGGACTTGGAGGGGCAACCTGAGGCAACCACCAACATCTTGGCATCTTCCCACCTAGAGTGGGAATCTGGTAACAGGCATTATATCACAAAGGCATTCTAAATTCTAAAGGAATTTATGTTTGTCCTACTGCTGGCCCTAATAAATGTGGAAAATATAAACAAATTTCTGGAACCCCACAGCCTATCTTATTACAGATAAAACACCACATATCCACATCTGTCAAAGTGGGCCAGGGATCTTCCAGGATTCTTGAAAATGGTCTAGAGTCAATATTAGCTTGAAAGCAGTGGATCTGCTTCCTGGAGACATGAAGGTCACACTGCTCTGCAGCCCCTCTCCTGGTGGGGGTCATCTAAGAGTTCAGGAGTCTGGCCCAGAGGACACATGCCACATACACAAGGTACAGGTATGCCATCTTGGTCTACCCTGAGTGTGAAAGCTGGTGGACTATGGACTTAGAGCATCTAAACACCTAACCTGCACTGCTCTGAAATCACCTCCCTTTCTCTATTCTTAGCTGACTGCTTTCTTTTAGTGCTAGGGAAAGCAGGGAGAAAGAGAAGCAAATGGCTTGTCTAGGGCCAGAATTGCCCTGCATTCAATAATGCACTTTAGAATGAAATGTTATTTGCCTAAGTGTACCTGTGTCCTGGTGACTTGAGATACCCAGAAATGACATCATCCCACTGTAGTCAAGGTTCATCTCCTATGAGCAGTGCTAAATTTCCCCGGGATGGGCACCTGGGTGGGCCTGGGGGTTTCTACCTACCTCCACACTTTCCAGGGATGCAGAGCGTCGGAGCTGGTTCTTCAGGGGAACCCTGGATGGCTGTTCTGGGAAGCACTTGGCTCCAGTCCCAGGGTCACTGGCCTCAGGCTGGCTCCTGCGGCCATACCACTTAGAGCCACACACATACTTTGGTGGAACAGCATGAGAAGAATCTAGAAAGAAAGTAGGAGTCTGATGGGGGCCCGTTAGAGCAGCCTTGGGGCCGCACATGCTGCCACATGTCCTTGTTCAGATGGGAGAAGTGCTCTTGGGAACACACAGCCTCATGTGTACATGAAGCATCTGGAAGAATATAGGGGATGGTTCACAGGGGTGGTCAAAAATTCATGGAGGAGATGAGAAGTCAGACTGGCAAAGGGATATTCTATTCTGTCTATGTTATTGAAATGGGCTGGGGGAAGAGGGTGGACAAAGATAACATTTTTAAGTAGAAGTGATGTCCCCAGTGTAAAAGCTATCTGGCTTTGGTAAGTCAGGAGCTGGAAGGAGTTTTAGAAGAAGGTCCACTTGGGGGTCATAGGAATTTTGATGTGACAGTTGGAAGGTGGTGATAGACAGTACACTTCTATGCTTAAACCCCACTCTCACCAAGAGACAGATCAAAGAGACAAAAAAATAAATAAGGACACAATAGCCCTATCAACAATTTCGACCATATGGGTTTAACAGACATCTATAGGACACTAAACACCTACCCACCCCCCAAAAAACCCCTGAATTTTCTCAAGCACACATGAATCATTTTCCAGGACAGACCATGTACTAGAGAAAAGACAAACATCAACAAATAAGTGAAGACTAAAACCATACCAAATATCTTCTCTGACTATAAAGGCATCAAACTAGAAATCAACTACAAAAAGAAAGCAAACAGTCCCTCCATCACAGAGAATATGAAGAACATGCTATTGAATAACTTCTGGGTTAATGAGGAAATCAAAGAAGAAATCTAAAAATACATTGTCATACAAATGACAATGAGGATATAACTTTCCAGAATGTATGGGACACAGCAAAGGCAGTAACTACAGCAAAGTATATAGCAATACAGGGCCATATCAAAAGCAAGAAAGAACCCAATCTAATCTTCCAGTAGAAGAAAGAAAGTAATAAAAATTCAAGCAGAAACAAATGAAATAGAGTCAAAGACAGTCCAAAAAATCAGTGAAGCCAAAAGCTGATTTTTGAAAAACAAAACAAAACAAAATAGACAGGCCTCTAGTCAGCTCACAAAGATAAAAGGGGAGAAAATTCAAATAAATAAGATCATAAATAAAAGGGGGAGAAATTACAATAAACAGCAAACATCAAGATAATCAGAGATTGCTATGAACATTTATATGCATACAAATTCAACAATGTAGAAGAGATGGATAAATTCTTAGAACTATACAAACATACAAAGCTGAATAAAGAAAAAGTAAAAATCCTAAACAAACCAACTACAAGTAGCAAAACTGAAAGAATAATCAAAAAGTCCACCACCAGACAGTTTAAAAAATGAGTTTCACCAAATATTCAAAGACGAACAGGTGCCTAGTCTACAAAAACTCTCAAAAAAAAAAAAAAAAAAAAGAAAGAAAGAAAGAGAGTGAGAGAAGAACTACTACTAAAGACATTTTTTATTTTTTGAAGCCAACATTACACTAGTAGCAAAACCAAACAAAGATAGCATAAAGAAACTACAGACCAATCCCATAATGAACACAGATGCAAAAAAATCAATAAAATCCTTGCTAACCGAATCCAACAATGCACCAAAAGGCTAATATATCATGAATAAGTAGGATTTGTTCTAGGGACACACGGATGCTTCGACATCCAAAATACAACTAATGTAATCCACCACATCAACAATAACAACAACAAAAAAACATTATATCAATAGAAGCTAAGAAAGCATTTGATAAATACAACAACATTCATTTATGATGAAGGGGCACGGGATCAAACTCACACTGACGCAGCTGCGGCTAGTGCTGCATCTGCACCAACCCGTTGTGCCACCAGGGAGGGACACTACAGTTTTTCTATGCATAAATAAATAAATATATTTTTTTAAAAGATGTAGAAGAAGAGACTCAAAGAAAAACATTCCCTGCTTTTGGAGTATGAGAATTAACATTACCAAAACGGCCATCCTACTCAAACTACATAATAAAGTGCAATTCTAGTAAAAATCTCAATGACATTCTTCAAAAAAAATAGAAGTATTACTGAAATTCACATGGAGTCACAAAAAACTTCAAATGGCCAAAACACTCCTGACTAAAAAGGGGTAGAATGGAGATGTTATACTCCCAGAATTCAAAATGTACTACAAAGCCATAATAAAACAGTATGGTACTGGAACAAAAACAGACACACAGACCAGTGGGCTCAAATTGAAAACCCAGAAGTAAAGCCATGTGTATATGGTCAACTAACCTATGACAAGGAGCAAAGAACACTGGAACAAGGAAAGTCTCCTCAATAAATGGTGCTGGGAAAACTAGACTGCTGTATGCAAAAGGATGGAACTACCTCACACCATACAAAAAACCAACTCAAAATGGGTTAAAGACTTCAAATAAGACCTTAAACCATAAAATATGCAGAAGAAAACATAGGCACAATACTCCATGACATACATCTCAGAAACATCTTTGAGGACTCATCCCCAGTAGCAAAGAAAATGAAGGAAAAGGTAAACAAACAACAGGGGCTACATCAAATGAAAAAGCTTCTGTACAGCAAAAGACAATAACCAAAATGAAGAGACATCCTCATAAATGGGAAAAATAGTTTTGCACCATACAATTGATACAGGACTGATAGCAAAGATCTACAAAGAGCTCACATACCTCAACAAAATCAAAGCAAACAACCCAGTAAAAAATGGGCAGAAGAACTAAAAAGATACTTCTCCAAAGAGATGTCTTTGGAAATGTAAATGGCCAACAGGCATATGAAAAAATGCTCAACATCACTTACAATCAGGGAAAGGCAAATCAAAATCACAATGAGATACCACCTCATATCTGTGTGAATGGCCCATATTAAAAAACTGGCACTAACAAATGCTGGAGAGAATGTGAAGAAAAAGAAACTCTTCTACACTGCTGGTGGGAATGCAGACTGGTCCAACCACTACAGAAAGCTGTTGGAGGTTCCTCAAATTACTAAAATGGATCCCAGTGATTTCATTCTTAAGAATCTACCCAAAGGACACAAAGACATTAATGCACACCTATGTTTACTGCAGTATTATTTATAATATCTAAGATATGGAAACAACCTATAAGTGCAAAAATGGAGAAAAGGATCGAGAAGATGTGGTATATATACACAATATAATAGTATTCAGGAGTCAAAGAAGATAAACTTAAGCTATTCACATCAACATGGATGGAGCTGGAAGGGATTATGCTCAGTGAAATAAGTCAGAGGAAAAAAAAATACCAGATGGTTTCACTTACAGAAGAATGTAGGGAAATTATCGAGCAAAGGTTAAAAAAAAGGTAAACTTGCAGGTAAACTATAGATCTAAGGTAAACAATGGGGGAATGGTGAGGGAGAGGGATTAAAACAGGGAAGGGAAGAGCACAATGGACTATGGTAACAGTACACAGGTGCTGTGGTGGTGGTGGGAGATTTATGGGGACTACACCTGATGTTACACAAAATGAAAAAGCAAATGTTACACAAAAATGAACAATATTGTAAGAAAATTAAAAAGCTTAATAAAAAAAAAGTAAAATAAAATAAAATGCAGTGCCTAGAGTTTTCAGTATTGTATTTTGCACTTACAATTTATTTTTTAAAATTTTATAAGAGTTTATTTTTACATATTTTTGTGTATTTTGCACTTATAATTTATTAACAGAGTTGATCTCATGCACGTGTTCTTAGCACACACATGCATGCACACACACACGTACACAAAATGCACAATGAGACTCACTGTTGATGGCTATTTTATGTTGACTGTGGCGATAGTTTCACAGATCTTTGCATATATTCGAACTTATCAAATTTTTTACTGTTTTATTTATACTTAAAACTGACAAAACAAAATCTGTCGATTTGTTGGATGAGTTCTCAATTCCTCCAGTAAGCTGGATCAAGTCTCTTCATTTGATGATCCCAAGGTTAGGGCCTATGGACCATCCATTTGGTGTGTGGAGGAAAAAACTAGGTGGTGCTTGGCCTTGGGACACACCTAAAATGAAACAGCTCTAAGTTTCCTGGCCTGGCCTTACATTTTGGATCTCCTGACTTTCTCTCCAACTGGGGTGTTCTGGTTGTTTGTTTCTAAATCGATGTCCTGTCCTGGCTGCCACCCCAGTGGTTGTCACTTTTCCCTTCCCTTTTTTCCTTCCCATACCCTTCTAGGACTCTGGGGAGAGACTGAGGTCTGCTTCAGGTTAGTGGTACCCTACATGCTCTCTCAGTTTCAGAGGTCTAGAGAACACCTGTCTTTTTATTTGTGAAATCTGCAACTCTACCACATCCATTTTATCTGTTAGTATCGTATGCTGTAAACAGTGATGATTACTTTTTGATATTTCTAAGATTGAGAATTGTAGTAAAAATTACACATTTGGTAATCATACCATTCCTAAACACTTGAATCTTCCCAAGTGATAAAAGCAACTGCATCTAAGTTTATGTTAACGAGTCTGAAAGGTCACTAGGTCACCAGTTTCCGGGGAAACTAATCAAAACCTGGAGAGAGGCTAGAGACTGAAGTCAGTCACCAATGGCTAAGGATGTAGTCAGCTGTGTTTACATAATGGGGTTGCCATAAAAACCAAAATGGCAGCATTTGGAGAGTTCCCAGGTTGATGAACATTGGAGGTGCTTGGAGGGTGGCACACTCGAACAGAGTATGGTTACTCCATGTCCCTTCTCACATACCTTGTCCTATAGAGCTCTTCCATCTGGCTGTTCTGAGTTAGATTCCTTTATAGTAAATAGAGTAAGTACAGTGTTTCTTGAGTTCAGTGAACCATTCTAGGAAATTCATTGAACTTCCCTTTTACAGCTGGCCACACGGCTGCAGAGGTGCCTACTGAAACATAGCAGTGTGTGTAGTGCCCTGCTGTCTGAGTAGGGGTAGTCTTGTGGAACTGAACCCTTAAAACGGTGGGATCGGATGCTGTCCTGGATAGACACGTCAGAAACTTAGTTAAATTTGGAGTGATGACATAGAATTGCTTGATATGGGGGAAACTGCCACACATTTGGTGATAGAAGTGGCAGCCATATTTAGAGTATCTTATAAAGCATAAAGGAAAATTGAGTTTTTGCTTTACTGCACCATTTTACAAATAAGGAAACAAAAGGGGGAAAGAAATAAAGGTCATTTTCCAGTCCCAATAGCTGGGTAGTGACAGGTACTACCCAGACCTCAATCAGACTTCAATCAGAATATCACATTCCAGAAGAATAGATAATGAAATGAATAAAGATAGATAATGAAATGAATAAAGGTGAGGGGAGGAAATCCTCACCTGATTCCAAAGAACTGCTGTCTCCATCCAAAGGGTCACTACCAGCACTCGAGGACAACACTGCCACAAAACCTTCTTTAAACTCCTCAAAGTTAACCTGGGTACATTTAAGCAAAGAGGTCAGTGTCTCTTTCCATAGTTTGCACAATGCATCAGTGTCTTTTTTACAGTACTTTTATTTTGATTTGCTTGTTTTTCTCCTTTTTTTCCCCTCTTGTATTTATTGATTTTTGTTGGCACTTCAATTGTCTCTATTAATTCAGCAGTCATAAAATCCATTATTATTATATTTCAATAATAACATGCATTCTTAGCTTATCGAGTTTACTGTTAATGCTTTTACCTTCTTGCATGACAATAGAAAGCATGCATGACACTTTAATTCTATTTATCACATGCCTGATTTTATACCTTTAATATCAGATAATTTAAACCCGTAAAAAATATTTTTGTTTTATATAGTCAATGCTCATTTAGAACTATCCAAGTATTTACTACTTTATCTTTCATTTATTCTTTATTGTGAGGTACATCCTCTACAATTTCATTTTTCTTAAGTATACTGGTACTAATCTCTTTTAATGTATCTGAAATATTTTTGGTTTATTTTCACTTTGTCATTAGTGGAAAAAGAATTTACTGTAAATAATACTGAACATGACCCAAATGCCCATTTACATAGAATGGATGAGCTGTAATTTATAGCAGACAATGGAAAAAAGATACTGATTAAGACAGCCTGACCATATCTCAGACATAATACACAGTAAGAGGAGCCAGAGTGTTCTGTGTACTGGAAAGCATATATTATATATTTTTCCATTTTTATGAAGTTTAAGAACAGGTAAAGCAAATTTATAGTGTTAGTGTCACAACAGTGGTGTGCATTTCATGACAGATGGCCTGAAGAGGGACATGAGGAGGGATTCAGGGTGCAGGCTACCTAGGTATACACAGTGTGGAAGATGCGCTAAGCTTACACTTTTGATATGTGCTCTTTTACCTTTACAACTTAAGTGAAAATGGCCCTCCGTGGTGGTGTAATAGGTTAAAGTGCAGCACTGAAAGTGAGCCGCAACTGCTTCATGGCCGAGTTCGATCCCCAGCCTTGGAGGTGTTCCACATGGCAAGGCAGACATCTCCTGACCTGCCCGCTGCTCCCCTCAGCAGTGTGCTTCATCACTCTACCTTTTCTGCTCCCCACTCTGTCTCTGGTGAATCCTCTCACTACTCCTGCACCTCTGGCCTGCACCCCAGTTCTGTATGTATAAATCTTTAAAAAAAAAAAAAGTAAACCTAAAAAAAAAAGTCAGTGAAAGTTACACAGAAAGAAATCAACAGAAGAGCTACCAGATAGATCAAAGTATAATGAATAAGTGCTGCAAAAGCAGGTTTTGGGACCACAGGCCAAATGAAATAGTGTTTAGCAGTGTTATAGCAGTGTTATAAAGGGTCACAGGACAGTGCCAATGTAGAGGACAGGTCACTGTCGATGGGATCTCACCTGTGCACTCAGTTGCAAGGCTACTCAGGCTCCGGGAGCAACATCAATGGGGTTTATTTAACAAAAGGAGATTCAGGAAACAGTCTACAAGGCCACAAGTAGCCACTTTCTCACCAAAGATCGTGTCCACAGTGTTCAGTAGCTCCAAACAAAGGCTGCTTATGCAAGATGGTGCTGTTTGTCGACAGGGCCTGGAAGTGGTGGCACACCGGCTGGGAAGTGGGCCATCATCCAATTCGTGGTAGCTGGAGGCACGCACAGCTGGGGCTGCTGAGGTGACACCACCACAGCCCTCAGCAGGAGTGTGAACACTGGCAGGACAGATCCAGATACTGGACCTGACAGCACTGGAGGCAACAGCCCCGGGAGGTGGTGCCAGGTAAGAGGGAGAGAGCTCTCAAAGGTGACCTGCACACTGCCCTTGATGCCTGCACCAATAGTGCTGGTCACCATTGGTCACCGGGAGGTGGTGTCAGAGACATCGTGCTAACAGTTCTTTGTGAACTGTTGGTCTACCCCAAAAACAAACAGCTCTTTGGGACACCGGGCCAACGCTGACAGTGCTCCTTGCATGCACTGTCAGAGGCAGGGAGAGTGATAGGTGCAGCTGCCGCGTCTCAGCACAGACCTTCTTTGGAGGTTGAATGCTGAATGCTTCTCTTTTTTAAAGGTTGGCTGCTGATCCTTCTTTCCTCAGAGGCCAGGGCCAGAATACCCTAAGTTCACTCCTCTGTTATATTCCATTTGCAGCGTCTGCCACTCTACCTGATGGGACCATGTTCAATTCTAAATGACTGGTTGGACCACTTAGTACCAATGAGCTTGTTCTTATTTTTTGATGAGAATAATTAAGTAATGAGCTGATGATCACTGAAGTAATGGACTAATGATCTTGAAACTGATTGGTCCATTTTAGATCCAGGTACCAAATATAAGAAAGGAAAACTTGTTAACTGCACAGACTCAACAGCCCTGCCCCCTGGGCAGATTTGTGAGCTGGAATCAGCCTCTGCACCTGGTGCCTCTTCAGGGCGGCCAGGTACAGTAATAACAAAGCCCCAGGCACTACTGCCTGAAATTCTGTAGCCCTAAACCTTTGGCCATGGGGCTTGCTATTTCCTCCTCTGCTGGAGTTTGCTCCTGCATGGGGTGACTTCTGATGCAGATCCAGTGTGGCTGCATGCCCTAGTGTGGTGTGGCAGAAGAAACCCTGCCATCAGTCTCTGCTGCTAGCCTGAGCCCAGTGGGCTCAGGTGGCAGTGGGAGGTAAAATGTCCACCTTCTGCCACCCACTGCCACTGCCAGTTGCACTGGCATGTGGCTGTCAGGGTGGCCTGGGCACTGCCTACTGTGGATTGGCCGCCAGAGGGGGTTTTGACATCAAACCCAGCTGGCACTAGGGCTGGCACCAATCCCAGTCCACTTCACAAGGTAGGCCTAAGTAAGGCCATCTTGCAGCCACTCAATGCAAGGTGCTGCCAGAGGCAGTGAATGCAGCAGGAAAATCCCTACTGCAGCACTGGAGTCCTATGGGCTCCAGCAGACACTCAGTCCTGGGGGGATGCTGTCAGGCCATATGCTACAGTTGCTGGAAACTCCCGCTGCTGCCATCGCTTTGGAAGCAGTGCGCCGTCTACACATGCTGGGGTAGCAAGGTAGTAAGTGCCCTTGCTCTTAGGCTGACCCTCCAGCCTAAGAGCAAGGGCCAGCAGCACCCACAAAGTTGCCAGTATGGAGGGTGCCACTTTTGCTCCCTGGCTTGAATATGGGGACTGGGTTTTACAAGTATGCTTCCCAAATCTGGCAAACAAGACTGAACACCTGTGTAGCTGCTGCTGTGTACAAAATGATGCACGTGCATTCGTTTACTTTCTGGCTCTTGATAAGCATGTGTTCTCCTTGTTGGCATATAACAGGTACTCTACAATTATTTACTGATGTTCTTGCTTGCATGACCTTTCATAAGTGAATAGAATTGCCTTCCCCAAGGATGTATTTCTTTCAGCATTTTGCTGAGTATGGAATCGAGGCTGCATGTCTTCCTTCAAGTTTACTGGAGATACTTTCCCCTGGCTCCTGGGTTGTGCTACAGCATTTCAGAAGGCGGTTGTTAAATAGAGTCTGGTATATTTTCAGGGTATTCTTTTTTTCCTGTGGTTGATTTTTTTCAATAGTTTATTTTTCCATATTTTTGTGCCTTTTTCCATCTCAGTTGCAATCCCCTTTGGTTTCCCATCACCAAATCACCCATGTGCCATCACCATAGTCCTCAGTGCATTTCCCTCCCCCCACTGTTTTTGATCCCATTCCTAACTACACCCCCACAAAATGTCTCTGGTTCATCATGACTTAGCTGTTCATCATTATCATTATTTTTTCGCCTGTTCTGTTATATTCCTGCTATGAGAGAAACCATCTGGTATTTTTCCTTTTCTTTCTGGCTTATTTCACTAAGCATGATCTTTTCTAGCTCATCCATGTTGCTGCAAAAGACATGTGTTTCGTTTTTTGGTTGCTGAGTAATATTCTATTGTGTATATCCACCACATCTTTTTAATCCAGTCATCCATTTTTGGGTATTTGGGCTGTTTCCATGTTTTTCCAATTGTGAATAAAGCAGCAATAAACATGGGGGTGCAGGTCTCTTTTTGAATCAGTGTTTTTGTGTCTTTTGGGTAGATACCTAGGAGTGAGATTGCTGGGTCGTAGGGAAGCTCCATGTTTAGCAGTTTGAGGAACCTCCAAACAGTTTTCCATAGTGGTTGTATTCGTTTGCATTCCCACCAGCAGTGCAGGAGAGTTCCTTTTTCTCCACATCCTTGCCAACATTTGTTGTTGCTAGTTGTTTGAAGATGTGCCATTCTCACTGGGGTAAGGTGGTATCTCATTGTGGTTTTAATTGGCATCTCCCTTATTACAAGTGATGTTAAACATGTTTTCATATGCTTGTTGGCCATCTGCATTTCCTCTTTGGAGAAATGTCTTTTTAGCTCTTCTGCCCATTTTTGGATGGGGTTGTTTATTTTTGTTGAGTTTCATCAGTTATTTGTATATCTTTGTGATCAATCCTTTATCGCTAGTTCTGTGTGAGAAAATTTTTTCCCAATCAGTGGGATGTCTTCTTGTTTTCTGTAATGTCTCTTTTGCTTTTTAACTTGATGTAGTCCCATCTATTTACCCTTGCCTTCACCATTGTTGCATTGGGTGCTCTATCTTTAAAGATGCGGCTGAAGTATATGTTGTGTAGTGTTTGGCCCATCTTTGCTTCCAGGTATTTTATGGTTTCCGTTCTTATGTCTAGGTCTTTAATCCAATTCGATTTGATTTTTTTTATAGTGAGTTAGTGATCTAGTTTCATTTTTTTGCATGTAGCTTCCCAGTTTTCCCAGCACCATTTGCTGAACAAACTTTCTTTGTTCCATTGTATCTTCTTTGCTCCTTTGTCAAAGATTAGCTGTCCATAAACCTGTGGGTTTGTATCTGGGTTTTCTATCTGAATCCACTGGTCTGTATGTCTGTTCTTGTTCTAGTATCATGTGGTTTCGATTATTATGGTTTTGTAGTATAGCTTGAAGTTTGGGAATGTAATGCCT